TGGCATTTGACCCGCAGACCTATATAACAGCCGTTACCTCTAGAAACTGTCTTGACAACCATGAAGAGAAAAAACAATGTTTGAATGCACGCATTGTGTGGGAGAAAGTGATCAAATGATATAGTGAAATATGTTTAAAAGCCCTCCAGAAAAGGTAAAACCTATATTATATTAATTGAACTATTTACGAAGTAATGTTTGTTTATCTACAGCCACCACGAACACGTCGATATGTCGATGAAGCATTTAGACAAATTCAGGAGAAGAAAAATATTCGCGATATTATTATTATAAATGAGTTTGGAATTCCTGTTAAAAGCACAATGGAATTTGACACCTCTGTCAAATTTGTTGGCCATTTTCAAGAACTAAGAGGACGTTTGGAGCGAGGTATGGAGAAAATGGATCCCAACGATGAATTCTTGATGTTAAGAGTACGCACTAAAACTCATGAAGTTATGTTAGTGCCAGACGTAAAAATAACTGTAATTGTTGTTCAAAATGCAGCAAAATAATAAAAACGAAATATATTTGTATAAAAATCGGATTGTCTAGCATGAAAATATTTGTAAAACTATTAAATAAATTCAATATTTGTTTCTTAAACTAAGTTAATTCTGATAACAAATTTAATAAATATTCTTATTGGTATATTATTCTGAGGGAACAGTGCATATGCAATTTTGAAATATTCAATTTGCATAGAGTATCGGACTCCACATTGCGCCACTTTTGCGGTAACAGAAATTTATTCGTGCGTTAACAGTACACTAACAGACTGTTACAGGATTATCGAAATTGGTATCGAACGTGTCTCAAGTAGTATTTTGACATGTGGCCATGTTGAGACATTGCATTAGCTCTGCTATGGATCTGTTATTAATCATGTTTGTTCTTAATATGACAAGAGAAAAAAATTGTAATTATTAAAGTGTTAATAAATGTAGTTCTAATTGAATTGCATTATCAATTATCCCAAAAGAAAAAATTGGTTCCGCTGTTAATAACATGTTAATAAAATGTTAATTTAGCAGACAACCGAACGGGAGGTAAGCCAAGCACACATACGCACGCAGAGTTTTGTTGTGTTCGGTCCGTGTGCTATTTACGTCGTAATTAAAGTAAACTCAAAAAGACTAGCGCGTAATTAATTAATCAAATTTGTACAAATTTGCTCAAAGGTGTGCAAATTGTGTTTTGTTGTGCGTGCGGTGACGCGAAAGCCAATACTGACGTCGCGGCAAGAGTTGGTGACGTCGCGCTTGAGCCTAAAAAGGCGTTGACAAAACAAACTCCAAAGCGGAACGCAAAACGGCTAAGCAGAAGCAGATAATAAAGCAAAACAACAACAAAATAAAATTCGGTCTAAAACGTAAATAGGCAGAGCATAAGCCGACCTAGAAGTTGTTTAATAAATAACCATCGTTCCAGCGCTATTCTGCCACATTTACTCGTGTCACTGTGTCTGTGCGTCTGTGTGTCTTTGCAAAATAACAGTGTTCAAGTGTGCGTAGCAGAAATAGAATTTACATACGAACGCGACACCCACACAAAACGTACGGTAAATGCAGCGCCGCAAAAATGAGCAGCATAAAGCTAAACGAAATGGTCAACGTGACACAGCAGGATTTACACGATCTATTAGAAATTTTCGAAAAAAAATCATTCGAGGCGGTGGCCTTTGAGGAAGGCACAACGGTAAGTCCAGTTCACCTGAACAGCCAGCCTTCCACTAACAATAAAAAAAAACCCTGTGACACAAATCCACTTAAAGCACGTGCACGTGCTGTAACATTACCAAAGCCAGTAACAGGGCTGCAGACTGGATTGGGGGGCAGCAACTGGCACATCCATTGCTTCCCTTCCCATCAGGTGGCCGCGCCCAAAAGAGCGATGAAAAAGTCTGTCCCAAATTAACTTTTTTCCCTTTACCATCTAAATCCTCTCCAACTCTAATCAAAAGAAATCGATAGGTGCGTCTTAAGATTCGCCCAACAACAAATACTTGCATATGTATGTATGTATGTATGGTCGCCTGCCTTGCTGCTTCTTCTTTTCTCTTCTTTCTGCCCTCGTTTCAAGTTACGGTTATGTTTGTGACTAGTCGCAGTGCAACTACAACATTAACGACTTTTACAACAAACTGTCTACACGCACTAGGCTAATTTCTTTAGTAGGCCCAATGTTGCCCCCAGTCACGCATAGTCCTCAATTGGTACTTATTTGGGGCTGGAAAGTGGACAACAAAGCGTGTCAACTAAACCATATCACATTATATTCGACCTATTGACTTAATATAAATAACTAGAAAACAGTGTGCTACATATATTGATATATATATATATATATATGTTTGATATTGATCAAATAAGCGCCTTTTTAAGAAAGAAAAGGCTATACAAAAAATTAGTGTGATTTGCTTGTTTTGTCATTGCTGTTGCATCTTGAACATTTTCTGTTAACATACTGTCAATGTTAACAGGCCGCTAAGCGTTAGCCGGCAACAATAACAACAAATGGTTTTTTATGGGAGCATCTGTGCGTGTGCATGTGTGTGTGTGTGTGTGTGCAAAAGAGAGAGTGCATGTGTTTGTATATGTAAATGAAAACCGCAAACAGTTGGCAACAGTGAAACAACAAATACCTTCGTCGGGGACATACGTGTATGGCCCGCGTATTACAAAACTTGGCACGTAACAGTCCCCCACCCCCCTCCTCATGCAATGCATTTGCTCAGCTGCAGCACTGCAACTGATAAACGCGAATGCTTTGCAATCAATTGAAATGAATAGAAGCCAAATGCACTTTTAAATAATGTTTGCCCCTGCCTGTTGCATTGTTGCAGTTTCTAAACTCTAGAATGTTGTGTATATTATCTATTCGTTTATCAAACATTTGCCCGTTATCAGCGCCGAGCGCAAGCTTTTTCCTATCTGGCAACATTGTCAGAGCACAACAATGACAAGTGCAAAACAAATTAAAATACTGAATGCTCTTTCCAAGATTTCTAACAAGCAACTGGGTTTTCTTATCGGTCGAGCAAATGAGTTTGGGCTTGATTTACTTTTGTTTAGAGAATGACACAAAGAATATCTATTCTTGACGTTTTGATTTCAAGATCTTCCAACTACTATATGGCTCTATTGATAAAATATGTTTTGTAAGAGTATTTAATCTTTGGCGTGGCGTTATTTCTAGACTCAATCATTTCGTGAATCACATGAAATTTGAATACTTTTCGGTCCTACGCCACTTTTTATACATAGACCATATTTGAATGTTGTTCGGTTGCTGTGACAAGAAATTTCATTCTTTCCAATAAAATCACTTAAACACGTACGATCTGAACGTGAGTTCCAGAGCTTTGAGCTTTGTCGAAACCAAGTACATTACCTACTCTTTCAATTTAATATAAAATATTTAAGTATATTTAAATATTATTTGGCGCACTTCGCTCGGCAAAGCGATTGTCTTTTGCTTATCATAAATATATCAAATTATATTTCAATTAGTAAAAGTTTAGGGTTTTATATAACTTCTTGTCCTGTCGTTGAAAATCGAGGAACTTCAAACTGGGAATATATATACTGGCTTATAGGTAAATTATATGGGTTACGCCCCTTAGTTTTTAGGGTTGACTTAATCTCGCTTGCTTTATATGAACTCGCCCAATCAGTCAAGGGACCTTAGAAAGTGATTAGACCCGCACGAATACTGTAACTTAGTATACTAACCGAGTTTCTTATCTTTGAACTGCACCTCGATAAGTGCGGGTTTGTTTTTGTTTTTGTTTTTGGTTTTTTTATGTGTTTCTGTTGCTCAACATTTTTCTTTGTTCAAAGTTATTTACTTAACTGCTGTTGTTTTTATTTTATTTTTTTTAGTTTCTTATTTTAATGTTTTTAGTTTTTTTTTTTTGTCATTGGGGAAAGATTATTTATAGCTTTGATGCTGGCACGTGACCAAGCAATTTGCGTTTCAGATTATTTTGAACAGGCGCCACAACGAGTCAGATCTGTGCATCGGGGCAAAGTTTCATTCCGGGCAATTACATAAGCGAATGTAAATACTAATCTTCACACAGATTAATGCAGGAACACGAGACAAGTGGACAATGTGGGAAATGACAATTTGAAAAGCCAGCAAACATGGACTTCTTTCTACAAGACATATTGATTAAGAATATACTTGTTTTAAATAATACAAAACACATTTCTAAACGCAAACATGAACTTCTACAGTCTTAGACTCTGCGTTGAACACCAATCTTTCAAATTCTCTGGCATTGTGATTTTTGGCTTTAAATTGTAGATATCACTTTTTTTTATCTATTTGCCGTTTGTGGAAATTTATATATTCATGCTATCTCTAGTTAGGATCGAGTTGGATCAACATTTTTCAACTCATTTTAGTTGCGTGAAGCATTAAACCAAAAATTAAAATAATTTATCCCTTGACATGCATTTTTTTTTGTGGGAGGGGTGGAGTTTGCGAAAAGTGTAAAACATGTGTCAAATGAATGTACGCAAAGATTATTTGCAGATAAGTTTAAGGCCGATCGTTTGAAAAACTGATTTTCCACCAATTTTTCACACATGTGGGTGGAATTTCTAAATGTATAAAGTTTTAGTCTAGATTTATGTAAATAATTTTGAAGATAATTAGACGAAACTCTACATTTTCACAAAGATATTTGCGATCGGAGAAAATTACAAAACTTTCCTCTGCGTTTCGCCCGTTTTCCACCGATACAGGTGGAAACGCTGAAATAGTTATTTTCCATTCACTTTTTACAAAATATCTTTGAAAATAAGTTTGAGGGCGATCGGATGACCGTTTTCCACGGGTTTTTCACACTTGCGAGTGGAATCATCGTCGATAATAATTTCTTACTGTTTTGTCTGTGAATTGATCGCAATTCAGTTATATAGAGAATTAAAATGACGACAATTAATGGAGATTTCCTTGATCTGAAGCTGAGCTGAATAAAAGCAAGTGTAGCTGTTGCACATCAAGATATTAGAACATTGTATTTAAGCACATCTAAAAAAAAAAATTGTATTTGTACACATATATAAATATAGATTTATAGATCTGTATAGTAGCAGTAGACACCGGATTCGCCCTTTGGGCATGCTGCACGATATTCTAATCGTTTTGCAAAGCGCGCTTCAGCTCCACTTCAAAGTCGGCGGCCTCGAGATCCAGCTGACAGCGCCCGGCACAGCCATCTTTGTCGAGCCTGCTCTGTGCCCAGAGTATCAGCTTGACGAGGAACATCATTTTCGGTTCCATGCTCGCCGTCTGCTCGTACTTGAGCAGGGTCGATTCCAGCTCATGGCTCACCTGCTGCCTGCAGCTGTGTTGCAGGAGATCGTCTCCAAGCGAACTCTCTGCGGATGGTTCCGTTTCAACGGAGACGCCGCTGCCGGAGTTGCGCTCCAGATTCCGTTCACGGATCAGCTCGATGAGGCGCAGCTGCTGCATGTGGAAGTACATGTAGTTCTCGCTCTCAAACAACTTTGGGTACAGTCTCTTGGCCATGTCAATGGCGTACTGCACCTGGGCCGTTCGCACCGCCTTCCTTATGCGCTCCTGATACTCGACGGGATCCGCCTGTGCGCCCGATTCCAGCCTGGCCACCGCCTCGAATCCCTGCGCCACATCCAAATAGCCCTCTGTCAGTGGACAACTATGTTGAAATGCTCACAGGATCTCATTAAATACACACCTGCCACCAAATACTTCATTATCAAACGATTAATGTCCGCCTGCTTGGACTGAAAGCTCTTCATGCGATGCGACCAACCAGTTCTCTGATTGCTGCCCGCCGCCATCTCAGACAATTCTGCACTTCCGTGGGAGATCGCTAAACGAAGACATTTTTAAAGGAAAAGTGTCGAATGTTTAAAGGAAATGAATATTTTTTGAAATTAATTATCTATTACTTCATTTTCAAGAACTTTCTAAGCTTTGGAAATAGAAATTCGTAAGAAAACATTTTCGCAATAAACATACATACCACATGTGTATTGTTTATAGGGTATAGAACTTTTGCAGTCAAACATATGATTCATACAATTAAATTCAAATAATAGCACTACAATTGTTTATAATCAGGTTTAATCTGTTGTCATGGCGACACCTGATTAAAGTGTTGAACTTCAAATGCATATTAAAAAATTGCACGAAAAGCAAAAAGTGCGCAAAGTCAAGTACAGTGATTGCTCGATAAACTGAACCGAATCAAAAACAAATTATTTTCGAACTATTTAATATGAAATAGTCATGAAAGCTCTAGGAAAATTGACGAACCAGGGCTTTAACTAAACCACTTGGTTTGAACCGTGAACCGAACCAGCAATGCATTTTTTTGCATTTGCAGCCCTGGTTTTTAAAACAGATTTGTTTGCATGTAAATATTTTCATTCGATTTTATTTCAATTCGTTGGGAACCAGTTTGTTTCGTCCAAAGGAGAGCTCACTGTACTGGCTACGTATTTAGCTTATGGACTTATCATGAAAATGAGCAACAAATTTGACTTTTTTGTTTTGTTTGCATTTGTTTTATTTATAACAAACCTTGCCCAATGACATTGGCATAGCCCGAGCACAACTGCAACAAGGTGTCCATGTGTGTGCGAGTGTGTGAGTGTGTGTGCGAGTGTGTGTGCTTAGACATTACCCGTTATCGTGTGGGCGCCAAAAAAAAAAATCATCTACTTCTGCTCGGGGCAGCAAATAAAAATAGACCAAACATACACATAAATATGCAGCCATATATATGTATATATTTTTTTTTAATATATGTGTGTATAAATATTTCACTTTCAACAAGATTTTACAATATATTAACCCACCTGTTGTTGTTGTTGCTGCTGTTCTTGTTAATAATACTATTTGTGTGGCCCAGTTGTTGTTGCTATCGTCTGGCTAATTGGTGTGTAGCCAAGTGTTGATGGTGGCCAGAACGCAGTCGAGTATATGGTAGATGATGACCAGCAAACGGACCAGGCAATAGAATTCCAGGGCCAGCAGGCTGAGGGAGGCCAGGAATAGATGATCCTCCAGCACGAGCTCCATGCAGATGTATTTTTTCACAGCACTTGCAAAAAAAATAATTATTTCATTTACTGCGCACTCAAAATTCGATTGGCCTGGCTGCAGCCTGCCCAGGCCAAGATGCGGATGCGATTGCTACTGCGACGGCGACTGCGACTGCAGCTGCAGCTACGTTTCCTTCCGTGTGTTTTATGTATCTCGCCTGGCAGCAGCTCGAATCCAAATCGCTTCCAGGCTGCACAAACTCTGTACGCCCACGCAGTTGCACATTTTTGGGGGTTGCATGCAGCCGGCACAGTGTTGCCTGGCTATGCGGGAGCGGTCTCCAGTTGATGCCGACTGCGCAGGACGTCAACGTCATCTGTCTGGCGCTGGCTGCAGCCGCTCTGCACTGCTGCGCTCTTTCCTGTGCGCCTGTGCCGTCTGGCAGCGCCTGTGTGGGTGCCGCGTTGCTCGTCGCCTGACTCTTCTGTCCACTGTACCGCGTACTTGTGTGGGCGCTTCCGAATACGGGACACAGGCGCGCATAAATCAAAGATGCCGACCAGCTGCGGCTAATTCCAGCGCATTGGCTGTTGCAGCAAATGACGCCGCACAGTGGAGCAAACCACCCAAAAAAATGCTCAAAAAATAAGCTGGAAAATTATTAATATTGATAAATATATATATGTTACCGAGCCGAGGCTTGGGCTTGGTTTCTTTAATCAGCTGGCAGTAAAAGGTCAAGGTTCAAAATTTCACTCGTTTTCATAAGTATTAGGAAAAATTTAAATCGTAGTATACTTTGGGTATATTCAATCAAATCAGAATAATTTATTTTTAAATTTAGTTCATTTTAATAATGAACTTCAAGTCCGCATCCAAACACACACAAATTGAAGCGGAACGATTCGCCATAACGAAAATATATTTCTGGTGACAATCAAACACAAACAGTTCAATGTCATCAAAATTGATGATTTAAAGTTAATTATATTTAAATTATTACTCCGATGTAATTTAAAATGGAATTTTCAATAATTCATTTATGAATGAATGAAAGAAATCTTTTTCGTTTGGCTTCTATAAAAACTCCTCTTAAATATAGATTATTTTGAATAGTTTGCCAAAAATAGAAGTTCTCAAACACACAAGACTTTAAAATCTGATATATATTCGACAATATAAAAGGAATAAAGCGAAAAGAGATTGTCGATTCCGTTTATAATTCTTTTTTTCGAACCATAAATTCAGATCTTAGTTCGAGCCTAGGCTTGATTAATTAATTAATTAATTAATTGATGAAGACAATATACCTGGTCGACGTTAAATCAAAATTTGAAGTATTTGTAAGGTTTTTGGGGGTTAGGCTTAAGATTGAGCTGAGCAACTAGTTCAGTTTATAGTACTGGAATTCCTGGTTCCAGTTCATGAGCAACCGCACACTTATAGAATATACCTGTGTCCACTGTGCCGAAGACGACACGCTGGGCACCTTGTGTTTATGATTGCCTGTTGCGCGTCGAACTTGAACAGTTGAAGCGCTGCACAACCCCTGTCCTTGGATTTAGTTGGCTGGTTGTTGCTATTGTACTGCATTTGGCTGGCAGCTGTTGGCGTTTTAGCGTGGGACGAACCACAGACACTTGGCACAGGTGCGCAGAAACCGGGCGGAACCGGGCGGAACCGCAGCTACAGCCCGGGCGCATGTCCGGGAGAGTGGCCTCGGGAGACGCAGCGAGTGCAATTCGATTAGATGCCAGTGCAGCGCAATTGAAGTTCCAATGCGTCTGCCAATTCCAGGAGCTGGCGACGTCTGTCGTCGCATTCACCACACGGCATTATGATTTTCGAACCAGGCACCGTCAAAACAAGGTTCGCATGATATCCGCAAAGCCCAGGCACGCACATATCCTGATTAGGGGCGGCTCCTGCTGCTGCTCCTGCTGATGCTCCTGTTGCCTGCTGCTGCGGCCTGCTGCCACTTTATGAATGCCTGCTGACGAGCAGATAAAATCGATAATAATTGAAATGGCGGCTGCATATGGCATCCGCTAATTTGTGCAGCGATTGTTGCGTGGCAACAGATTGTGGCATGACGCAAAAAGTTGTGGGTCGTACATTCGAGACAAATAAGATGTCTTTCTCCTTCTTGACTTGGAACCAGTTCTGCGAATAAGTTTTAAAAAGTGTTTAGTCAGTTTTTCCGCTAAATAAATTTTGATTTATTTATTTATAAATGTGTCCTTCGACACGTCAGTGGAATCGTTGACATTGACCCCTAAGAGACTTTTAGATGAACTGATTGACAGGCGAACATGTTAAATAGCTGGTGATCGAAGTCAAGCCCCTGTTACTTACCCATTCAAAGAAAATGCTGTGCATGTGCTTGGCAGGCGGATGGAATAAAGCTCTTCCTGATTGCAACGGCCTCCAATTAAAAGCTCATGTCTCTCTCACTCTCTCTCTTCCTCTCTCTCTTGCTCTCTCTGTAAACTTTGTGCTTTGTGCGCCCAGTTTCCGGCTAAACGAGTTGTTGTTGCTGTAAGTTGAAGCTTTAAAAAGTTGCCAACCGTCGAGATATGCAAATGTTGTTGCCCATCAAATACATATGTTGGAAATTCAGAATGACCTTGTCAAACTGCATATCAAAACCTGGTTATTATTGCACATTAAAATAGTTGGCTTGATAAAGGTTGGCTAACAGATTAGTTTGAAAAACGAACTGAATAGCTGTTGCGCCCGATAACTTGTCTGTCGATAGCTGGGCATTTATCGAAAACGTGTTCGCTTGGGGTCTTTGAACGCAGTAAAAACCCAAAAAAAGAGAAAAACAAAAACTCATTTCTGTAAACAACAAAAACGGAACTTAACAGAATGCATGTTCGAGGTGTGGTCAGTGGCCCGAGCCGTGTCGGGCCTGACGTGAACTTGTTTCCAGTGTCGCTCGCCCTGAATAATTCATTCAAGAAAAGCAATTTTCCGTGTTCGGCGATCGATGAATATGCATGAATAAATATGTAAAAACATACATACATACATACACACATATATATATATATATACATGTGGACTCGCGTGATGTCCGTGATAAGCCTTGCCCAAATGCCAGCGAAGTCAGAGGAACGTTTATTTACATGTTGTGCTGTCTTTTATTTTCTGTTTGTCGTTTTCTCTTATTTTCTTTTCTTGTCGCTGCTGCTGTGGCTGCTGCTGCTGCTGCTGCTGCTGCTGCTGTTGGCCTGGTCTTGGTGTGTCATGGCGTCGGTGTTGCTGTCGCTGGTGTTAGTTTCTTTTCTTGATTGGCCGCTCGTTTGCAGAAAGCGCAGCTGTTAACTAAACTGTGCAGCTGTGTGTTATTGTTGCGGCTGCAGCGACGGTTTCTGCTTGCCCAGTACTGGTAAAGTCTTCAAAATCCGGGTTTGCAAGAAAACTGCATTGCTTGAGCCAAGCGCCTAGCGAGAAGGAGACAGCGAGAGGAAGACCAAGATTGAGTTGGAGGAGACCATGTAAGCTGCTTAGCAGCAACAGACTTCGTCTTAAATTTGTTTTTTTGGGTCAGGGCAGCAGCTGATGCTGATGCTGATCGCTGCTAGCAGCGCCAGCGGCAGCAAAACTATTGCATTTGGCGTCAGTCTGTGTCTGTGTCTGTGTCTGTGTCGGTGTCGGTGTCTGTAATCGCAAAAGCGACAGCGACAACAACACAAGTCTGCAAAACTATTTTGCTTTCGCGCGCGTCTGTTTGTTGTTTTTAAGTTTTACAGCGCCTTATTAACAGGCGCGCAGCGAAAAAAGCACAGCCAACTGCATGCTGTGTGCCTCGCTGCGCTTACAAAGAAAATAAATATGTGCACTACACGTCAGCAGCAGCAACAACAACAACAACAATAATAATAACAACAACAGCCAGCAGTACAACAGCACAACAGTACAACAGTACAGAAGTACAAAAGTGCAACAACAAGCAAGCAGTTCAATACACACATACACACACACACACACGCACTCACAAGACAATCGGCTACTTGTGTGCGTGTGTTTGCGCTTGTAACAACAGCAGCGACAACAACTACAGCATGTAGCAGCTACATGTTCACTGTCTCACTCACACTTGCGGCGATACAGCGAACAAGTTGCCGATAAAAACGCCAAGATTTTTGGTTTCTCAACGACACACACACACACACACACACACACAAAATTATGCACATTGTTTGCATCCGTCTCTCTCGCGCCAGCTAACACTTGTGCAAACTTGTGCATGCGTCGGAGAGAGCGCCGCATTCGTCTTTGCTTTTGTGCGTGTATGTATGTGTGTCTGTGTGGGAGAGAGAGGCGTGCTGTTAAAGATAATGACGTGGAATTCGCTGATGTAAACAACAACAAACTATTGTCCCCCTTTTGCCAGCTATTTACTAATTACACATGCATATATAGATATATACGTAGATATTAAAAATATCTTGTGTGTTTACACGAATATCTTATATACGTAAATATATTTATTTTCACTTCTACAGCTTCCCTGCCTATTAGTCAAGCTGTCAACTGAACCGTTACTTGTGTCGTTCGTTCTCTTTCGCTGCCCACTCAAAACACCTTTCAGTCGTCAAAAACTTTCTCACCACAACCTGAATACACTCTCCCGCCCACCATAAACTCTCACCCCCACGCACACACAGGCAAGCGCGTGGCGGTAATTGCGTTTTAGTTGTTTTGCTCGTTTGTTTCGCTCCGCATAGTTTTCTCTTGCCTGCACATGTGTGCGCCTCATGCATGTGTGAACGCATTTGTGTGTGGGTGTGTTTGTCTTTTTGGCACGTTTGTTTTGGTATGTGGTTCGCTTGTTGCGCCGCATTAGCCATTTTGCGCAGTTTACTTTAACGTTTCTATTTATTCGCATTTCGCTTTGCCATGTTTATCGCTCGTTTTTGTTGTGCTAAAAACCTGTTCGTTCCTTTCGATAAGCCATCCGCTGTCTGGGACAGATGCTTCCGATCTTTAGGAATAAACAACGCTTAGGGTTTTCCCAGATGTAATCCCAGTTATGCAATCGCATTTATAACTGCGCTAGATTTTTGATAAGCCAACAGGATTCCGTTGTGTTATCAAAAAACTAAGTTGGGTAACTTTAAAATATCTACAAAATTCGAAAATTATATTCTCTACCCAATTTGCATAATACTTTCAATTGGGATAGACGCTTTCAACTCTTTATAGTGTAATTTATAGCTTTAACATATTTGTGTAATTTGCTAATTGAAATTGAAAACAGGAATTCCGAATTTCACGGTTACTCGACTCTTTATATGGACGATAACCCCCAGCGGGGTCCGAGACTCTGGGGCTTATCGTATGTTTAATTTGAAACGCGTGCCACGCAGCTGTTCAATGCGATTCCAAATTGTTCGTCTCATTGCCCGTATTTTTAAACAATATTCAAAATGTCTATAGGCGAAACTTTATTTAAAGATCAAAGCAAATGTTGTGGATGCAGCGAAATGAAAAGGTTATCAAGAATGTGAACCGTCAAGGCGAGATTCAATATCATGTCAAAACCAAAACAAGGAAATTATTTTATTGCTGCAATTTGAAAAGAGATTACAAAACGTAAAACCATACGGAGAAAGCTAGCGTCAACTATTTCAAAAACAACAAAAGTCTTCTATAATACCTTTTATTCAAAAGTTTAAGGTCAGGGGATTTATATTGAAGCGATGTATATGAGAACTTCATGTGGAAATTTCGTGTCAGATTGATTATCTGTTTTATGGGCACAGCTAAAGTTCTTGAGTATCTGAGGTGTGTGTGAGCTTAGGGAGAAGCATCAGGTCAATTCCAGGGTATGCCTTGCCAGGGACAAGTCCGGGCTACACCCGGACTATAATGGATCCATCTATGTTTGCAGTCGTTTTCAATTCATAAATATGCGCTTATTCGACTTTCCTTTACAGGAGTATGGCATCTCAAAAAAATGCGAATTTCTGTTCAAGCTCGACTACAGCCTCATTGAGCTGGACAATACGAACGGGCTGCTGAGTCCGAGGTATCCTGGACGCATACTCATACCGGAATACGAGCATGGGCACATGGCCAAGACGCTTATACCCAGCAACGGGTTGGGCGGTGCAGGAGGATTAGTCGGAGGAGGTGGAGGCTCAGCGGGCACAACGGCGACAGCGACGCCGCTGAACAGCAGCGTTGGCAGCAACTGCAGCAACGGAAGCACAGCTGGCATCGGCATCCAAGCCTTTGTGACCTTTGCCAATCCGCTGCAGACGCAACATCCGCAGCAATCGGTGCCGCCATCGGCGCACCAACAGCCGCAGCAGAACACCATCTACGAGGATCAGTATGATATACAGCGCATGCGGGAGCTGGTGACGATGGCGAAGTATGCGCGCTGCAGGCAGCGCTTCGCCGTCCCCGTCATAATGTATCGGGGCAAATACATTTGCCGCTCGGCCACGCTCTCCGTGATGCCGGAGACGTACGGCCGAAAGGTGGTGGACTATGCGTACGATTGCCTCAGCGGCACCAACTATGCCGCGCCCAATGGCGAGGAGAACGAGTCGGACACCACGGACGAGTCGCTGATCAATCACATTAACGACCAGGCGCAGTCACAGTTCAGCTACGACGAGGTCATCAAGAGCGACATCCAGCTGCTGCACACGCTAAACGTATCCACAATTGTGGATCTCATGGTGGAGAATCGCAAAATCAAATACTTCATGGCGTAAGTCCGCAATTGATTATATCGAATTTCCTTTTGGGCTACATATAAATGCACTTTTATAGCGTCTCCTCGTCGGAGAAGGCCGATCCTAACAAGCACTACAAGAGCTTTAATCTGCTATCGCTGCCGTATCCGGGCTGTGAGTTCTTCAAGAAGTTCCGGGACAACAACTACATGGCCAAGAATCTGCACTACAACTGGAAACAGTCGTTCAACGATGCCAACATCAACATACCCAATTTGGGACCCGCCGCCGACATCGACATCATCTGGCCGGAGTACCGTGACTGGGATTTGGTATCCATAACGCAGAACTATCTGCGCGCCACGCTTAAGTATATACAGGAGGATAACTCTGGTCTGCTAATACACTGCATCAGTGGCTGGGACCGCACGCCCCTCTTTGTCTCCCTGGTGCGGCTGTCGCTCTGGGCCGACGGCCTCATCCATCAGTCACTCAATGCCCTACAAATGGCGTACTTTACGCTGGCCTACGACTGGTATTTGTTTGGCCACCAGCTGCCCGATCGCCTCAAGCGCGGCGAGGACATCATGTTCTTCTGCTTTCACGTGCTCAAGTTCATCACCGACGAGGAGTTCAGCATCGTGGAGCACCGCAAGCGCACCAAGACGTCCAGCAGCAGCGGCAGCAGCGTCATTGTCATCAAGTCCGACTGCTGCGACGACGAGCCGCTCAAGGAGTAAGTGAAGCCGCATTAAATGCTAGGAAGAATTATTCTAGGCATAAACATGAATAGATGTGCAGGAATCATAGCGGAGATTAGGCGGATATTAGCCAATCCAAGTTGCTATTTACTAAAAGTTTTCTAATTCACATTTCCATCCATTTTCCGCAATTGGTGAATCGCTTTTAAAATGCTTCTGTTCTTCTATGCTTCGATCGGTCCGTCAAACTTTGTAGATTGATGGATTTCTTGAAAATTATGAAAGACTACCTTCTGTTGAAACGATTTTAATATAGTCTGAGATTATAAAAAATGAAAGAAAGTCAAGAAAAGTTTTTATATATGATTTTGATGAGATCTGTTTAGGGACTTAAGCGAACGTTTGCTTTACTCTTGCAGAGACTACATTTTGGCCTTCGATCAAGATAGCAACGATAGCTACTCAAACTGTTCCAACTGTGATATGTCCATAACAGATAACTTCTTTGCCACAACAACAACAACAACAACAGCAGCAGCAGCAGCTACGGCGGCAACTGCACCTCCGGCGCTCGTCAATCCGCTCACCAGTCGATCGCCCAATCCAAAGCGGTAAGTGAAGCAATTTGAATTGACTTCGGTTGGATTTCACATGCTTGGTTCTTCTCGGTCACAGATCCCGCACCAGCCCCATTTCAGTGCCCGGCTCAAATGCGCGCCAGCGCCAGGAGTCGACATCGTCGAACGGTAGCTGGCAGGTGGTCACCGACACCGGCTCCATAGACTCCATGATGAACGGCAGCTACATGATGCGCTTCGTGGCCCAACAGCATCAGCAGACAGACAACATTCCAATGTGCAACGGCGGCAATGGCTATCACTGCAGCACCAACACGCCCAGCGCCTACCCCAGCGGCTATCCCAGCGCCAGCGGCAGCAGCAACAACAGCAATAGCAACAGCAACAGCAGCAGCAACACGCACGGTTTCATTAATGGTTCCTCCAAGGAGGCGGGCAGCGCCAGCGCAGCCGCTTCCAAGCAATCCATCAATTTGTAAGTACACTCATTCAAAATCAAAATTTCTATCTATAGAGATAATCTAAAAGAAAATACTGGAACCACTTGGCTTAAAGCAACAAATTAAGAAAGATTCTCAATCATTTTTCATAAGCTGGCGAAATTTTCTAAGATTTCGCAAAAGATTGGAATAGAGTTATATTTTTGGACAGATGACAGATGAACTGAAATCCGGTTTGGATGCGAACCAATTTGAACGCGAAGCTTAAATTTTATTTACCACGAACTGAACCTTTAAAGGGATTAGCTGGATAACAAGAAATCGCATCTATTTATTATCATTCTTTTGATACACAACATTTTTCCGAGTATTCTCATCAACAAACATTCTCAATGATTTTCAAATTTTGCAGACGCAAGCAACGGTTGAACGCGGTTCGAGCCATATTCATACAGGCGTATGGAAAAACGATTGGACTGAAATTCAAGGAGGGCTCCTCAATGAACCTGGCCACGTTCATTGGGAATCTGGCGGATCAGCTGTTTTAGAGTGTGGTTGGCACTGGAACTGAAATGTGCGTGCACCCGATGAAAGTATGCCACATCCGCATCAACCGACTGACTGCTGGATTGTGGCTTTGTTGTTTGTTAGTTAGTCTTGTTAGTGCTGCGCGTTTTTTTTTTTCTACCATGGACTGTATTTTGTAGACATGTTGAATTACGTTCTTGTGACTCTTGTTGATAATAAACACAAATGCGATTACAAAAATGTAGAACAAAATGTAATGTACAAGTAGCCAAGTTCCTCAGCGCCCGAGGCCACATACCATATGGACAACTGTGCTCTCCAGGCGCTGGGACTGCTGCAGTCGCTCCGCCGGGCAGCGGGCAGCCAACAGCTCGGCTAGATGCATGTCGCCGGCCCCATATGTTTCGGAAACTGTTTGTTTAGTGATTGCAACAAAATCAAATCAGTTTAAACAATAGCTCTAAGTTGTAATTTATAGTAATGTATTTTTTAAATAAACTTATTGTGCATTTGATATAAGACTAACTTAACTGAATAGCTCCCGAACGCAGTCAGGAGCTTCTGTTGCGGGTCTTCCTCACATACGACAGCGGCATATAGTCGGCGAGATCCAGGCGCTTCAGTCTCACTTGCACCTTTTTCACATAGTACTTGGCGCTCTTGAGCGGCACATATCGCAGCCTTGGATCAGCTTCTTTATCGGGCGACTGTTTTGACAGCGGCTGCAGCTCTATTTCAAGCTGATCCGGTGGCTCATTCTTTATGACCAGCGGTGATGTGGGCGGGTTTGCTGGCTCCGGCTGCGGTTCGCTGTGGCCGCGTACATCGCTGATGACCAGATTGCTGGAACGAGCAGCTGCAGAACTGTCCGGTTTGCTGCTGCCGTTGCTGCTAGCGGAGCTTCTGCGAGAGCTGACCTGTACGGGCAGCTCTTTGACGCGTATCGCCTTTAGGAAGGCATCGTACTCGTTTAGCACAATTGCCAGCTCCTTTTTACCGAGGTCCTTGCAAACTAAACGCACCTTGCGCTCTTCCTTGAATATGGCGTCCAGTACCTCGACCTCCAACTGCCGCTGGTGCGCCGTCGACAGCTGCTCGATAAACGGCAGTTGATCGAGTAAAAACTGTTGCGTCGAAGTCAAACCCTTGATGTTTGCCGGCGGTTTCACATTCATCATTTGGTTTATTTTGCTAACTATATCCCGAAGTGCGCTCGGTATTTGGCCGCACGCTTTACCGAGCGTCGGGCATATGGGCCGCAGGTTGTACCAGCGCCACTGGAGCTCCTCGACGGAGAAGGGCGCGGAGAGCTCTAAGCCCTCGTAACTTAAATTGAATGCCTTCACTATTTCCCCCCAGCCCCATTCCTCATAGTCTTTGTCATTTTGGGGACGTACCGCTTTGCTGAATAGAAACGGATACATATAGATTAGCTCGAGAAGTCGAAGATCGTTTAACACTATTTGGGAGTTCGCGTTTGTATTGGAGAGATTGATTTCCATTTGGGATGCATCCTCCAAGCCATCCATTGTATTTTATATTAAGCTTATGAGAGCCAGTTATATTTTCCGTCCGTAACTTAATGAAATATAATTCTTTCCTTTATTTCTCAAAAATAAGGATTACAAGAAATAAGATAAAACTATCGATAATAACTGCATGCTGTTATCGCTTTTAAGTGGAACTAGAGGTGGTTCAACTTGTTCCATCCCTAATTGCCAAACTGACAATCTTCATTGTAAAAATCAACCCTGATCTTACATTGTGGCATTTGTAGTGTAATGATTGAGATAAATAGAAACTGTAAAGTAAAAGCGTAGGTATATTCTTAAAAAATACTCTATAAATTGGGGACGAAACTTTCAAATAGTATTGGAAACATTCACAGATTCTTTGGATGTATATATAATTGAATTGCCTGTCAACACGTTCTCATACCCACAATATACCTTAATGGAATAATCAAAACTAAGTTTGTAGATAACAATTTGCAATAGAGACCATTTTTACCTAGAAAACTATCCGATTTACAATTCTGATTATATTATCGATCCTTATGGTGGAATGTTATCCTTTGATTTTTAAAACATTGGTTCAATAACATTCAATAACATTCCTGAATACTCCTAATGTGTATATGTTGATATTTTGGCGCCATTAACATATTGAGACATACGATATTTGTTATTACCCAACACTGCGTACTCCAAAGAACTAGTTCTCATTTGTTAATTTGGCTCATTCTGTGCCTGTTTTTTTTTCATTACTAGAAATAATCTTTAATACTCAGCATATATTTCATTTAAACAATTTTCAAATTGCTAAAAAAAATTAAATTAAATTAAATATCTTAAAAATAATTAGTTCGCTCATTTGGGGGTAGCCTTTTTGTTTTTCTTCTATTCATGCGCTTTCCAACACTATTTTCTAAGCATCTGCCGGTGATTTGAGGCACCCGTGTACACAATATACACACATTTTACAGATTATTTAATTGTGGTAAATAAGTAGAAAGTTGTAAACAAAACGCCAAGATGAGTGGCGGAACTATGCTGTATGGTGGCGATGAGATTGGCGCATTAGTTTTCGACCCGGGCCACCATTCGCTACGCGTGGGATACGCTCAGGAGGATTCGCCCAAAGCAGAAATACCCTCTGTTGTGGGAATTGGCAGCAGCGCGCCAGACACCAATCTGGATCCTGAGACAAAAACAGACAATAACGTGACGCCAAACAGTAAGTAGAGCATATATTGTTTTCGTATAGTGCACAACTTCATCCCCCTATCCACAATAGATAGCGACGGTCGGAAGTTCTATGTGGACACAAACTACGTAAATGTGCCTCGGTCGCAGATGGAGGTGCAAACATATATGAAGGACGGCATGATTGACAACTGGGAGCTGTTCGAAAAAGTCATCGACTATGCATACGCTAATGTCATACAATCGGAGCCAGAGTATCATCCAGTGCTTTTCTCGGAGGCATCGTGGAACGTGCGAAACAACCGGGAAAAGCTAACCGAGCTTATGTTCGAGAAATACAATGTGCCGGCCTTCTTTCTGGTCAAGAACGCTGTGCTGGCGGCGTTCTCCAGCGGACGTGCCACAGCTCTTGTTGTAGATAGCGGCGCCACACACACATCGGCTGTGCCCGTGCACGAGGGCTACGTGCTCTCGCAGGCAGTGGTCAAGTCGCCGCTAGGCGGCGATTTTCTGTCTCGGCAGTGCAGGCAGCATCTGGAAAAACTCAACATAGACTTGTCGCCCGTGTATAAAATCGCCTCGAAGGATGTGGTTAAAGAGCGCGACAACGCACGGTTCACTCTGCGAAAACTGCCTGAGAATCTCACACAGTCGTGGCAGAACTATATGGTGCAGCTTATGATGCAGGACTTTCAAATGAATGTGCTTCAGGTGCTGGAGAATCCATACGACGAGCGCGTCGCTTCCCAAATACCCATGGTCCATTATGAGTTCCCCAACGGCTACCATCAAGATTTTGGTTCAGAGCGCTTTAAAATTGCGGAAAGCCTCTTCGACAACGCAATGCTTGGAGCGGGTCAACTTTCGTCCACCAGCGTCGGCATGTGCGATGCCGATGTGCGGTTATCGCTGTTCGGTTCAGTTGTGGTTACAGGTAGGCTAAGATTTCATTTAATCAATGCCATAGACTTAATTATTGTTGTTTGAAAAGGCGGCAACACACTGCTGCAAGGCTTTCCGGAACGTCTCAATCGAGATCTGCAATTGCGCGCACCCTCGAACACGCGCCTAAAAATGATATCGGCCAATGGCAGTGTCGAGCGAAGGTTTGGCGCCTGGATTGGTGGCTCCATACTGGCCAGCATTGGCACATTTCAGCAGATGTGGATATCATCGCAGGAGTACGAGGAGGCTGGCAAGAGCCAAGTGGAGCGCAAGTGCCCCTAAGTGCAGCTCTCTGTCAATCAAACGAATTCCAATTTTAATTGTAATGCCTAGTAACCCGTACGATGATATGATTTTATATGTGAACTATTTAATGCGCACCTAATCGCTTGGGCTGCTTTGTCAACTGGCCTGCAAAGGTTATATTACCAGGTCCGTTAAATGTACTTGTATTAATTATATTTCCTAAAATTGTATTTTGTATTCTTGAGCAATTTATCGCCTGGCAACTTCTGACTAACTAATTGTTTCATATTTAACTCTATAATTAACAACTTCAGAAAGCAGTCGATTATAAATTATTCAAGTTAAAATGAAACATTTAAAATATAATATGATAGCTACGCTATTTTTCACACTAGTTACAGATGAAACTCTTAAGTTCGATTAAATGTGTTTAGTTTATTAGACTTCTCCGGATAATTACTAAAACATCACATGCCAAAAGCTTTAGATTATTCAAATTATTCGTTGTGCGGAAATGTTTATGTTTAGGACTGAGCTGACGGAGTATGAGCTTGATTTTCTGGTTTGATGGTGAATTCTCGTCGTCCTCTGCCCGGTTCTAGTTCATAGGCAATGGAAATGGAGTGAAGTTTCGGCTCGCGCTTCTTCGAGTTCTTGTAATAACCCGGCATCATGAGGGGCTTTTTGCGCCTGATGGTATCTCGGGTTATTTCGGTGCAGAGCTTTAAAAGGCGTCACATGGCACCGGACATGGTGTTGTTGCAGACGCATTGCTGCAAAAGGGAATTAAATTAAAAACTGCCGTGTTTTTGTTGAGCTGCACCTACCTTGGCATTCAGGATATCCTCAGACCAGTCCTCCTTGGCGATGCGCCCAACGGCATTCACTAGAATCTGCTTCACTTTAACCACATTCTCGGAAAAGGTCTTGAGCACGTCCTGCACGTTGACACCTTCGCAGCCCATGCGCCAGCAATCGTAATCGGTGGCAATTGCGACCGAACCGTACAACAGACCCGCTTCCTTGGCCAGCACAACTTCTGGGCAGGTTGTCATGTTGATAAGATCTCCGCCCCACTGTCTGAACATATTGCTCTCGGAGCGGGAGGAGAAGCGTGGGCCCTCTATGGTAACAATCGTGGCCTTATCGTGCGCTGCATATTCCAACTCCTTTGCCGCATCGAGCAGCACCTTGCGCGTTCGCTCACAAAAGGCCGGATACATGGGCAAATGACAGACACCAGTCATTCCGGCGTGCTCGCCATCGTAGAAGGTCTGCATTCGCTTCGTGGTGCGATCTATAAAGTCGTGCGGCACCACCAAGTTGCCCGGCTGAATGGACTCTCTGAGGGAACCGCAAGCCGTCGACACTATGAGATGTGTGCAGCCCACCTGGCGCAGAGCCCAAATGTTGGCGCGATAGTTAACATTGGATGGCATTATATCATGTTTGCGACCATGACGGGCCAATAGCACACATTGTACACCTCCGATTTCGCCTTCAATCAACGCATCCGATGGAGAACCGTATGGCGTCTCAATTACCTTCTCCTGGCGCTGCTCCAAGATATCTGGATCATCCAGCCCAGAGCCGCCAATAATTCCAATCTGCGCTTATACAAAATCACAAAGGAATATACATATATATATATTTATATGTGTGTGTGAACATGTGTATACAGCTGTGAGGAGCAATGCCCCTTCTCACCTTGACTGGAATCGGATCCAGATTGGTGTCTTTACATTTAATGTGTATCATTCTCAAAGACGGCTGCAAATGACGGATTTAATTGCCGTTGTGCGGATTAAAATGTGCTGAGGAACTGTCGCTGTTTCCGCGCTGATAGCGTTGTTGATGATAAGGTGTCAAAAGTGTAGCGCAGCTGAAAATGTAAGGCATACTCATTTGTAAGTGGAGTCTGCCACTGTTGCTTTTACCAAGCATACAAGTTGATTGAATTATGTATTTATATTATTAACTTAAGCAATACACATCTCGTAGAACCACTTTTTTCTTATGTTATAACAAATTATTTGTCACAATCATTTGAATAGTAAGGAATTGTATATTCGTTACAACTCAAGCTTTAAAGTTCGTACAGTTATCTCGAATCAAAACTTGTTTTCCAACACTGTGCATACTCTGGTCACATTTTCTTTTGCAAGAAGAAGACAAATGTAAACAGCTGAGCAAAGGCAAGCACATGTGCATCGCCGGGATTACGAAGAAATCTAATAATGGGACTTGAAGTGGACTTACCGGGTAACGATATAGACGATATCGAAGACCTTATATCGGCCGAAGATATAAAGCCCCGCGAACGTTATGAAAACAAAAAGAGCGTTACAGTGCGGGCCAAGAAACGAGCACAAATCAAACCAACATTAGGCGATGCGGGCACAGAGGCGCCGCTTCAGGCTCAGAAAACCATTTACGAAAGTGTTGTGCCAGGAACACAAAAGGTGTATGTTAAGACATGGGGCTGCGCACACAACAATTCCGACTCGGAGTACATGGCCGGCCAGCTGGCCGCGTATGGTTATAACCTGAGCGGCAAGGATGAGGCTGATTTGTGGCTGCTGAACAGCTGCACCGTAAAGAATCCTTCGGAGGACACGTTTCGCAATGAGATCGAGTCGGGCATGCGCAATGGCAAGCACGTCGTAGTGGCCGGTTGCGTACCTCAAGGCGCACCAAAGTCCGACTATCTGCGTGGCCTTTCGGTAATTGGGGTGCAGCAAATCGATCGGGTCGTGGAGGTAGTCGAGGAGACGCTCAAGGGTCATAGCGTGCGCCTGCTGCAGAACAAGAAGGTGCACGGTCGTCGTGTGGCCGGCGCTGCCTTGTCCCTGCCAAAGGTGCGCAAGAATCCGCTAATTGAGATCATATCCATCAACAGCGGCTGCCTAAATCAATGCACCTACTGCAAGACGAAGCATGCACGCGGCGATTTGGCCAGCTATCCACCCGATGAAATAGTGGAGCGTGCGCGCCAATCCTTCGACGAGGGCTGCTGCGAAATATGGTTGACTTCGGAGGATACTGGCGCCTACGGTCGTGACATTGGCAGTTCTTTGCCAGAGCTGCTCTGGCAGCTTGTCGAGGTCATACCTGAGCATTGTATGTTACGTGTCGGCATGACCAATCCGCCCTACATCCTGGAACACCTCGAGGAGGTGGCCAAGGTGCTTCAGCATCCACGCGTTTACGCCTTTCTCCATGTGCCCGTACAAGTAAGCAATTATATCAAAAGTTTCAATCAATACTTTATTAATTCTCACTATTCTTTCTAATCAGAGTGGAAGCGACTCGGTGCTCGGCGAAATGAAGCGGGAATATTGTCGTAAGGACTTCGAGCACGTGGTAGATTTCCTACGGTCTCGTGTGCCCGGCTTGACAATTGCCACCGACATTATCTGTGGCTTTCCGACAGAGACGGAGCAGGACTTTGAGGAAACAATGACGCTTTGCGAGAAATACCGTTTTCCCAGTCTATTTATCAATCAGTTCTTTCCGCGTCCGGGCACGCCGGCAGCTAAAATGGAGCGCATACCAGCGAATCTGGTAAAGAAGCGTACCAAACGGCTGACTGACCTTTTCTACAGCTACGAGCCGTATGCGGGTCGTGAGGGCCAGCTGTATACGGTGCTGGTGACGGAAATATCCCACGACAAGCTGCACTATGTGGGCCACAACAAGAGCTACGAGCAGGTGCTGCTCCCGATGCGCGACAATCTGCTGGGCACTCGAGTGCGTGTTCGCATCACAGGCACCAGCAAATTCAGCATGATGGCCGAGATACTGGACGAGGAGAGCGACTGGACGCGCTGTGATTACAGCAAACAGACGCAGCCCAAGGCGAGCACCAGCAGTAGTCGAGGACAGCGCTATGTGGGCATCGCTTTAATCGTGGGCGCTGTAGCATTTGTGCTGCAGCTGCTGCTCCGATTTTTATCTCAGTAAAATAAAAGGCAAGGCAGTTCTTGAATTGATAATTTAAGTAACGATTTCATTTAATCCTAGGTATAGTACTTAAGAAACTTGGTTCGCAATAAGTTGGCCCTAGTACTCGTCGGAGGGCTCAGTGCCAAAGTAGCGATCGCCGAAGTTGCCAATGCCAGGTATAACATAGAACTTGCTATTGATCTCCGGGTCCAGAGCGGAAGTAACAATTTTAACCTGTCAAAGACGAAGATGAGATTTGGATTCAAATGCATCCGTAGCCATAGTTTACTCACCATGGGAAAGGCATAGGCGATCGAGTGCACACCGATCTCGGCCATCAGCAGCGAGGCCAGAATGATATTCTGCTCGGGCACATCGTGATCGAGCAGCACCCGTATGGCCATCATGGCTGCGGCGCCTGTGGCAACGGTGGCATCCATAAGTATCACTTTATAGTCTTTAATGTCTTTTGGCAGCCTCAGATAGTAAAGCTCGGGCTCGCCAGTCTTCAGATTCGTCTGTATAAGAATCTTGCCAATGCGTATATCCTTACATACATCACACACGGCCTGCTCCATGGTTTCCCCTGCACGCAGTATGGACACGCCGCATATTTTGCGCGACTCCATGCGTTTTCCCTCATACATGACGCCTTGTGGCGTCTCCACGCACGTCTCCTTAAAGGGGAACAGGCTCAACGCGTACTCAATGACCAGCCGTATGAGCCGCTTTGAATAGAAGATGAATTCATCCCGTGAAGTGTTCTTGCACCGTATGAATGTGTGCAGACCCTTTATCTGTGGCGTTGGATGCAGTAAATGCAACGAATCTGGCATCGGTTGGTCCTTATACGAATTGGCCAAAGTCTCGCGTAGCTTAAAGCCGCGCTGCAATAATCAATGAACAACATTTACTCAATGGATCAACCGCTTGCTGCTCCGCTCTTACCAGCTGCAGCTGTGTGTGCACATGCTGCACTATCAGAGCTATTGCCACTTTGTTCTCGCCGCCGCGTGGCACTATGATGTCCGCATGGGCCATTGTGGGCGCTATATAATTTGCATAGGAGGGCTTCACCATGTTCAGGTATTGCTTCAGCACGCCCTTTAAGTCCCGTCCACGCTGCGAGATATCACTGTAAGTGTGCGTAGAATATTAATTAAATGCCCAATGATAATCAAAAGTATCTTCTCTTACCGCTTAAGTCTCCTGGCCAAGCGTATGTCTGGGTCTGTGTCAACGAATATCTTCATGTCGAGCATCTTGAGCACCTCGGGACTGTGGAAGGTAAGTATACCCTCAAATATTATAACGTTAGCACCATACATGGTTTTCTAAAAGATATAGAACGTGATAAATGTAATTAATAAGAGCCTTAAACTCGCGCATAGCTTATATCTTGTCTCTCATCTCATCATGCTATGGGGGCATGTGGTCGGAGAACCCTCATTCTCTTATACTTATACAAATAGCAAAATAGTGATAGCATTTGTATCGCAACAGTTTTGAGCTATGTTACTTACCGTCTGACTCTCGCGACCGTGGGTCACAAAATTGTAGACTGGGACTTCAACTTTCCTGCCCTCCTTCAGTTTGGTCAGCACATCGACGAGCAGGTCAATGTCAAATGCATCCGGATGATCAAAGTTGTATTCGTTGATGAGCGCCAGCTCATGTTGCTTCTCGTTTAGGATCTGCGTATTAGGTTAGAGCTTAGCATGGACTACGGACAATTATGTTGGCGTCGCGTTCGACGGCGTCTACCTTGTAGAAGCAGTCCATGGACAGGAGGGTCACCCAAGGCACGTCTAGGCTTTCTATGATTTTCTCTGCGACGGTCGTCTTGCCGGATGCACTGCCTCCGCAAATGCCTGCACATGGAATTCTCGATAAGCCAAACACAGGTTGAGCAGCGTATACGCACCTATGACAAAGGGTTCCACCTGCTGGCCGGCGCAGTTGTACCACGGCGGTCTACCGGCCGTGTAAATGGTGCGATTATTTGAACGTATTATGCACTCGGACGGATTGGCAGTGGTCGTCTGGTTACCAATCGAGGTTGTGCGCTGGCGTCGTCCCGCGCGCCGCATGGGCGACTCCAAGACCGACTTGGCTGGCACCGTAGTGGGCGAAGCCGGGCAGCAGTTGCGCTCGCTGACCGCAACGCCGGGATCAATGTAGAGCGGTTCAGTTACATCTGAGCGATCGTCGCTGCAAAATCGATAGATTCGTGAAACCAACCTTAATCGTAAATAAACTCTAAACAATTACTTTCACACATGGGCAACAATTTCGTTAAATATACGTGGTTCAAGTACCACGTAATAAATCAAAGTTTATTGGCCATCCCCCGCGAATTAGCCAGATAAGATTCCTTGGCACGCGACTAAAACTAACTCACGTTCCGAAAATACAATGCGCAAAACGATTGCAGAAAATTATCGCCACAGGAAGAACAACAAACCGTAGATTAAATACCCTTCCAGACACATGTCAAGTGATTCTATGTCGATTAGATTTCGAATACTAATAATGTTTTCCTGGGAAAAACTACGGCTATGGAGCTCTGATTGGGCTGAAACCGAGGAGCAAGTCCAAAGCATGGCTATCGAGTCGAAGCAGAACAGATATTTGTGAGGTTCAGGGATAAAACCCTCTAAGCGTTACATATCTCTTCAATAAATTAGAATACCCTAAATAAAAAACAACTTGGACAATGCGCAACGCTGCGGCAATCTTTGATAAACAATGACTAGCATGTTGTCTGCACATTTGTATATTTATGTTATGTCCGTTCATTTGGGCATATGATGAAAACTTTATAAATAGCCTGCAGATAGAGTTTATACAGATTGTGTTGAGTTCAGGAAACGCTCTTCTTGGGCAGTCAAATCTTTCATACTTCTAGAAGATATTATACGAAGAATATAGAATAATTAATAGATTCAACGACCCAATTTTTCCAATAAAGACTGTCTGAGAAATTAATTTCTGCAGTTGTTGCTCATATAAATTCTTCTTCAATTGCAACACAATGGCTTCTAAAACCAAGTCGACGACATTTGACTCCTCGAAGTATTTTGAGATAATAAAAATAAAATAAAAAAAAAAAACTACAAAATGCCCAGAAATAGACTCGAGGATCTTCTAAACAGATTTATCACCATGCAGCCGAGTGTTTATATTTGTGTGTATTTATTTATTATTCAATATTCAAGTCTAGACAGTGCACAAGAACAAAGAAATGCATTCATGACAAATTATTTCAGACACACATTGCTGGCATACGCCAAAGTAATAGAAATCTTCAGATTCCCCCTCAAAACACGATCTTACAGTTACCCTAACATATGCATATACAAATAAGTATATATATATATATATTTACATTAACAAATTGAACGGATTTTTCATGCAATCATCCAATGCCTGTAATATTCCAAGACAATGAGGAATATCCAGACGGAACGGATAAACGGATAAAAGCACAGGCGTTGTTTGAGAAACGAACGTGCATACACACATAAGCCTGTGTGTGTGTTGAAGCATGGCGGAATTAGATAAGTCTTCTGCGAAACCCGATAAAATCGTATCCAAGTCGAAAACACCGTTATTCCAGCTGATCAATACCCTGTACGAGCAGTAAGGGGTTATTTAATTAGTTCCTGACTTGATCATTAACTTTCGGATATGTCTAACAAAAAGTTCCTGCTGTTTATGAATCAAAGTAAATACATTTTCAAATTAGATTTAAAAATGGTTTTTTCATTATCCCATTCTTCATAGCTAAAGAAACTGTATAACTTTAGATAATCAATGCTTCATAACAATCCCCAAAATCGGGGACATCAAATGGCAGATGATGCGAAAAGCTCTTGAGCATCGAACAACTTGAAGGGATTTTTCGGGTAGGCCTATCCCTGCTTGACAAGTACAGGGCATCAATATGGTCTAGCCTACCCTACAGCCCCACCCAACTTCACAGACATTCCAATGCGGCAAATGTCGTCAATAAGGCAACCTCACATAACGCATGCGGGAAAATTTTGCACTATCCAGCCAGACAATGCGACGCTCAACTTACGAATTTCGGATGCTGTGCCAACTAGTACATCACATGCACAAATCTATACATCCACCTATGCATGTATGTGTGTATGTACGCCATTACGATAGCGCGTACCGTTCATTGCTCTCATTGTGGGTGCCATAAAAATTTCACAGTATTTTCCCTAGAAATGTTCGCAACGTTCAGGCTGTTGCTGCTGCTGCTGCCTTTGCGTCAATTTTCCTTGTTATTTATAGTTGAACTACGCACGCATATGCATACATACATATATACGTGTATTTGTATTTGTATTTGTGTGGGTACATAAGTCTACATAACGTTACATTTAGCATAACGTGAGAAATTGAGTTGGGTAAGGGGAGGGGGGTTACGTGCTGATTGCACGTGTTGAGACCAACAGGTTGGCAGGCACCAAGGACACAAAGCGAGATGGAGAGAGAGGGTGAGAAGGAAGAGAAAATTCCTGGATGGGCACATAATTAGAGCGAAGAGGCGGAGACGTGGCTTGATCGCAGCCATATTGAAACAAATAGCAGCAGCAGAAGCAGACGCAGTCGCTGACGCTGTTTTTTTTTTTTTTATTTGCGATGCCAACCCGACAGCGGCTGATAGTTGACTCAGCGACACGATAAACGATATTGAAAAAAAAAAACGTTAATTAAACACAGAAACAAATACAGGGAGTAACAACAAAACAATTAGAGCTTGTGTATACGCATACATATGCAGGCAAGTATGTATATATGTGCAGTTGCATGTGTATGCGTATGCACACGTGTATGTGTTGTGTGTATATGTGGCGAAAATGGAAAAAGAGAACAAAAACAAATGATACAACAAACAAGCACATAGAGCTGGATATACATACTTATACACACACACACACACACACACACACACACACAAATGTGTATGTATGTATGCATGTATATTGAATGTTAAATAAAATGTGAATAAAAATGCAAATGATTTACATGTGACTGTGACCGTTGGTTTTGGCTGCAGCCTTAACCTTCTTCAACGGGTTGTGCAGCTGTAGCAGTGCTTGTGCCTGATGTTGTTGTTGTTGATGCGTTGCTGTTGTTGTTGTTGTTGTTGCTGCTGCTGCTGCTGCTGTTGTTGTTAATAAGCCGGCTGAAGCATATACTGAAGAAGCTGTAGCTGATTTTCCTTTGGCTGCCGCATCTTTACTGTTGTTATTGCTATTAGTGTTAGTTTTGTTGCACAAAAACGTGATGCTGCTACTCATTTTAGACAATGAGCCAATGCCAAAATCCGATGTAGCGTATGCGTTAAGTATATCAGTATATAGCAGCTAAATGGGTCAATCACTCGCTCACACAAACACAAGCACAAGCACAGGCACCGACACAGACACACAGCACACGCACACTCCCACACTCAAATGTTTGCACAATGTGGCCGAAGGCGACGAGCCCGACGCCTTTCGCATGTGATGCGATTTACTGACGGCGCTAAGGAGTAGCGTGCTTATGAACTTAATTGTCTTTCCTGATATTATTATAATTATTAATTATTATTTATTGTTGTTGTTGTTGTTCTATGTGCGCTGGAAAATCGTTGTTAGATGTCAATGCACGCAGTTGTTAGCTACCGGCGCCGGTCAAAAAACAAGCAACGTGCAGCAGTCGCGTTGGAGAATGACTAAAATGTGAATGTGTGAAGAAATCGCAATCGGCCGCTGTCTATTTCAGTGTCTGTCGATTCGCAGAGCTAAGGTTAAAAGCAACTAACGACGTCGACGATGGCGAAGGTACAGCCGAAAGGTAGAGCAGCCACTTTTTTGTTGCCTGCTGTTGTGCTGCTGTTGTTGTTGTTGTATCTGCTGCTTCGTTGCGTTATAACTGTGCTTGTGTTTGTTGTTTGTACAAAAAAATATTTTTTCATTCTGCTGCAACGTCGCGGCTCTCGACGTTGACGTCGAATTTCAGTAGCGAATGATATTTAATTTATCATATGTATGTGAGCATGTACACAGTTTGTATGTATGTATTTACATGTATGTTAGGTATCTAACAGAACCACGCTATATCACACGCTCTATGTATATAATTATATGTAAACATATGTATGTTTATTCATTTAAACATGCATGTGAGTATCTTTGCGATTTGACGTATTATTTATTGCGTGCTCAACTGCTGGGGAGGCTTCTTGGTGATGAATGAGTTTTGGGTGGATTTTCACGTATCACTATTATCGCCACTTTATATATTTGTTACCTGTCGGAACTTGCGGAACTCGCTGGATTGTAAAATTTGATTTGTTTTGTCTGGGTTGCAGACATGTTTCCCTAATTTTATCTGCAGCTGCAATTGCAATGCGTTAAGAACGTTTAGAACCACGCGGTGATTATTTTGTCGGCTCTCTTTCTCTCGCTTTCTGTCTCAGTCAAATCATTTAACGTGTACATAGGCAACCGAAATATGTGCGCAGTTGTGTTGTTTTTCTTTTAAATCTGGTTTTGAATCAAGCGTCACGATAACCTGAATGTAATGTATGAAAAGTAATAAAGTAAATCATTTAAGCATCAATCAGAGACCAAATATTCCAGCTTCATTAGGAATTGGAATTTGTGGCATACACAAACTCGGTATTTTTTTATTGCTCAGCTGTTTCTAAAGTGAACAATATGCAAATACAATAATATTTATCAACACTACACAGACCAGCTGTTTATTGTGGCGGCTGGGCAATACATTGTAGTGACATAGTTTTACAGTGCACTGTTTTACAACACAACCGTTAAAGTGCAGCCTATGTATGCTAGAGATGAGCGATTTATGACTTTGTAAGCCTGTGCGCCCCCCTGTGAATTTTCAGTTTGCATTCAGTTTGAATATTTCATATATACGGTAACTTGGCAGCCTGGCGATAGGTAGCAGTTACCGAATATCGGCCATCTCTAGTGCAGCTAGCGGACGCAACAATATCAGATATCTACGTGAATTGCCAGCCCTGGCTCTGGAACAAAAACTTTTATTTTAATCAATTGTTTATGTTGTGCTGAAATTAATATGGAGTAGTTGTGTGCTTGGCTGGTGCTTCTATCAATTAGTATGGCCTATATAAATATAGCAGAATGGACGCCCGACCAAGTTACAGACTGGATCCGAGGTAAATCTATGGGCTCTCTTAACAGGTCAAGGAAAAGTGCAGCAGCAGCAACAGTCACACACCAAAAACAAAAACAACAACAACAACAGCAACATTCCTTTCACATCCAACTTTGAAATAATTTCTCATATTTGTTTAATTGTGCAAAGGTCTCGACGAGTCCATGAAAGGCTATTTGTACGAATTTTCGAAACATGAAATCGGCGGACGGGCCCTGCTCAATATACGGCCATATGAGTTGGAAAATTTGGGCATGAAGGCCATAGGCCGTCAGGAAATTGTCCTTGAGGCTGTCGAAAACCTGCGCAACTTTGTAAGTGCATCCCCAATGGCATAAAATAAAATTCTAGCGGCAATTAATTCGTATTTTCCATTTAATCGTGGACAAAAGCATAAGCGAAAAAATAGATTTAATTCTATACAGTATGTTTCTTAGCTAAAGAAAATTCAATTTGCCGCTGGATCAAGATTTAATCCATTGTGCAGTGGTTCAGCCTTGGATTGCGTTCATCCATTGCCCTTATCCATTTTAGCACTATCACCTGAAGAATGATAACCTGCAGTTTATGGCGCTGCATGTGGGCACCGCGGCACGGAACTTGCATCGGGAGCTGGCCAAGAACCACGCGGACAGCACAAAGATTGACACTCGGACGCTGCACGACATTACGCGCACCATTGCGACGCTGAAGCCGCTGATTGGGAATTTGGAGCGTTCGCCGTTTCGCAACCAGGACATGTACCGGGAGTATTGCGGAAATGTGCTGCGCTGCGGCCTGGAATTGGCGACGATAGCGCATAGAGATCGTTTTGCGGAGCGGCCAGTTGCTCAGATCAAGGCGACGGCGGAGCGGCTGGAGCGTCTGGCGAATTTCATTATACAGGACATATCGGATCCGATGGTGTTGCAGCCGGCGTCGCTGAATCTTGTGACTTTGAAGAAGCGCGAATCGGATCTTGGTTTCAATATTGAGTCCAGCTACAATGGAATTCACCGCGTCACGGACATCAAGTACAACTCACCCGCCCACAACTCGGGCAAGATCGAGGATGGCGATGAAATCGTCCAGATTAACTACCAGACTGTCGTCGGCTGGCAGCATAAGACTGTGTTGCACCATCTGTGCGAGGCGCTGCCCGATGTGGTGCTCACTGTCAAGAAACGGCCCAAGCACACCAAGATGTATGGCCAGATTTACATGCAGCCATATCGGCTGCCTAGCAAGAAGCGAAACATGGCCAGTCGCTGGGCGGACAACTTGCCCAGCCCGAGTCCGCGTGCCGCATTCCTAACGCTAGATACGGCGCCTAAAACGCAGAGAAGCGACGACGGAAAAGGCGTAAAGGTTAAGGAGCTGGTGCGTGAGCAGGAGGGTGAGCAGGTGCAGGCGCATGCAGCCTCAGACTCGGATTCCAGTTGCAGTGATATACCCACTCCCACGGACACAAAGTCCGCCAGTCGCGAAATGCGTTTGTACTATCCCAAGCCGCGAGCTCTGCTTCAGCGACGGAACACAATTTGCGGCGATGAGTTTCTCAGCCTTAAGCATCCGCATCTGGTGATACCCTCTTGGCACGAGCGTAAGCCTGGCGGCAGCGGTGTCGGTGGAGCCACCATCTGTGATCCTGGCTCGCCCAGCATTCGCGACAAGTCCATATCCTTTGGCTATGGCCTCGAGATTGCGCCCAGGCCAACCACCTGCATTGGCCTGGCGGCCAGCGACAGCGCAGACACAGCCAAGCGGCTGTTCAACGAGGCGCGCAAGCTCAAGCAGCTGACCGAGGCGGGCCTGCAATCCCAACAGCAGCTGCAGATGCTGGACCGCTACAAGCCCGGCGTAAGCAAAGTGGTGCGCTTCGACGCCAACATGAAGGTGGAGGACTATGTGGTCAAGAACGAGAAGTTTACGTGCAATGTGGAGAACACCATACTGGAGACCTTCGAGCCAATACCCTTTGCTGACGAAGGGGACGAGGATGCGTTGGAAACGCTGCGTAGCTGCGCCAGCGAAACAAGTGCCGAGCTTATTCAGGCCATGGAACTGGCTACGCGTGAGACGCCGCCGCTGGCGGAGGCCATTAATGCGCCGCTCATCCAACAGCAACAACAGCAGCAGAACCGACGCGGCCGCCTGGACAAGAGTCACAGCACGCCGGCCTATGATAATTCCGGTGAGGAGGAGTCGGATACACCGCCGCCAGCCATTGAGCCGCGCAAAGAGTTTCTTCTAGTGACACCGCCAGCGCCGCCGCCGCGTCCGCGCAAGCAACGAGAGCTCACACCCCCGGTTGTGCCACCGCCACCCCCCAAGCCAGCGAGCATGCAGCCGGTTGCAGCAACAACAGCCACAATAACAACAGCAGCAGCAACGGGGGAACAGGAGATTAGCGAGCTGCTGACGCCAACAAAGACGCGCACGCTGACGCTGAAGAAGAAGCACAGTCTGATGGCCAAGCGCCGCAACACGAACCTCAAGCTGTTGGGCACCGGTGACATTCAGGGTCATCTTTACAGGCGCACGAAGAACCTGCGCGGCGTCACCTACTGGGCGCGCATCTATTTTGTGATGCTGGACACCATTTTGTACGGGTTTCGCAGCAAGCAAAGCTCCAGCGCCAGCCTGGTCATCTTTCTGCCCGGCTTCACTGTTTCGCTGGCCAAGGAGGTGCACTCCAAGCCGCATGCCTTCAAAGTATACCACACGGCCAAGAGTTTCTACTTTGCCGCGGAGTCACTGGACGCGCTCAATCAGTGGGTGGAATTCCTCAGACTCGCCTCGCTCAAGCTGCCAGCGGTGAGCAGCGAGGTTTGCACCAGCAAGGATCTGTACTCCGAGAATGAGAGCTCCGGCGAGGAGGAGAATGATGCGCTGGTCAGCACAAATCTATGCACGCCCTCGCCGCAGGCCTCCAAGGATGTAATTGCCACACTGGCAGCATCTGGCAATGCGACGCCCACCAGCAGCCTGAGCAGCAACAATAGCCTGAAGCACGACCGCGGCTACTTTGACTCGTTGCGCAAATTCACAATGGGCACGTTCAAGAGCAGTGCGGCAAAGAGCAGCTCCAGCGACATACCCGTGCCAACGGCGAATTTTCAGACCTTTCGCAAGGTGCCCGGCGGTAGCTGCGGCATCCAGATAGGCGCCAACACACCCGGCTATCACGATCCAGCACAGCCACCGACAACATTGCTGCCAGCACCAGCACCACCGACGCCAACGCCCAAGCCAGGTGGCTCCGGAACGCAGGAGCAGCAGTCAACGCGCAAGCTATCGCGCAGCTCCAGCCGCAGTTCGGTGGTGAGCGTTGCCTCAGCAAGTCTGGGCCCGCCGAATTCGCCGGCGCCCACGCTCAGCTCGTTGCAGCAGCAGAGCTTCGAGGAGAGCAACAGTCCCAGTCCCAGTCAGAGCCAGAGTCCCAGCCAGAGCCAGAGTCCCAGCAGCAAGTCCAGCCTGAAGAAGGTGCCCTATCATTATCTGCACGCCTCGAATCCCAATTTGGAGGTCTTTGAGTACCATCACTCGCACACGAAAACGTTCATGACCAAGAAGGGGGGTGGGGACGGTACACTGGAGCCGCACCATCAGACGAACAACATACAGGGCTACATGACGCTGAAGGATTTGATGCTGCGCAAGCAGCTGGAGGAGTCGCAGGAGATGTACAACAATCGAGTCCACCTTGGCATCGAGAAGCACAACCGGCACCTGCGCACCGACTCCAATGCGAGTCAGCAAACTGCAGCGTCGGGCGTGGCAGTTGCGCCGGCGGCTGCCGCCAAGCCAGTGGGCAATGGCAATGGCGAGAAGCCGGCAAAGATTCAAAGTCTGAGTCTGCCCAAGACGCCCGACTATGAGTTTAGCTTCAAGCCCAGCGACGAGAGCATAAAGCGAACACGCACCAAGGAGGGCCAGAAACTGCGTGACTTTGGCTACGAGCTCATCTTTGGCGATGAGCCGGCCACCAGCAGCAGCAACAGCACAAGCAACCACAACAACAACAGCAGCAGCAGCGCCAGCGTCTCCAGGCAAACCAGTTACAACGAGCACGAGAAGCAGCTGCTGCTACAGCAGCAACAGGAGAAACTGCAGCAGGAGAAACAGCCGCAGAGCTCACGCTCGAAATACTTTCTGCGATCGCAGCCGCTGTCTAGTTTCCTGCACAAGAGCAACAAGAAGCATCACAATGATGCAGATGTCGGCTCCGTGTCGAGCAACAGCAGCAAGAAGAGCAAGAACAAATCCAGCAGCGGCAGCAGCGACAGGCGCTTCCCATTTACGCCGATGACAATGACCTTGCCGCTGAACAAAAAGTCAAAGTCCAATCATGCGCTCGACGGCAGCAGCATTAGCGGCGGCGGCAGCAACATGGGCAGCGGCAGCAGCAACATCAAGAAGAGCCAGACGTACAATCAGGATCTGCGTGACAAGGTGGCGGGCACGAAGTATGATGCGCATCGCAAGAACTCGGCGCCGATACCAATCTTCACCAAGCTATCTATATCATCGACGTCGGGTTCGAGTGCGACGCCTACGCGTCCCTCCAAGGAGAATCGTTTTCTTGGCTCGCCGATGCTGCATCGCACGCTCTTCGGGCACCACCATCAGCAGCACCAGCAGCAGCAGCAGCTGCATCAGCAGACGCCCAGCAGCGCCGATCTGGATGCGGATTGTGATCAGGAGATATTCTCGCAGGTCATATTTCCCACGCAGCACAGCCAGCGTAGCTATCGTGGCGCTGCCGCCGCATCTAACACCAACCTGTGCGCGTCCGAATCGCTGCTGCCACCCTTGCCACCGGCTCCGCCACCACCAACAGCAGCAGCAGCAGCAGCAGCAGCGGCGGCAGTTGCTGTAAGGGAAGATGCTGTTCAGGAGCCAGCAACACCAAAAGTATCCAACACCAATTCTTTAGATTCAAAAGCCGCCACACCGGACTATCCGAACATGGAGTGCCCGCCGGTCTTTGAGCCGGAAATATACTCGCTCAGCGAGCCCAACACGAGCCTCTCCCGGCTCATGCTGCGCAACAACAGCAGCAGCAACACCAACACCAACACCAACAGTCCCAGTGGCGGCGAGCATCCAACCTAGGTGTGATGTAAACTATTGTGAATGCTCTATATATATACATATATATATATATTTACACGCATATATATATATATATCTATACATACTCGTATTAATAAGTATATACAATTTTGTTCTTTTGGCATTTGTCCTTTTCGGAGCGAGTTGCCGGTTCACATACATATTCCCTTGGTACTCACCCCATTATCCTGATTGATATATATATATATATAGAGATTTAGATTTATGCATATTCGCCTTTTGGTTCCACTTAGAAAGATTTTGTATTACACGCGAGGCAGCGCAAAACATATATCAAGTCTGTGCATCGATGTGGGAAAAAATGTTGTAGAAATACGCTAGAAAAGAATATTAACGAAAATTCTTTATGATTTGCCTTTATATTGAGATTAACCAAGTTAATCGAAGCTGTTTGATTTGCTCAACAGTTCATGTCTAGCATACAGTAATAAATATATATACGCATCAATTTACATACATACATCAAAAGGCGTGCATTGTAGGGGCCGCCTCCAGGGGTAACACCCTAAGGGACCCCCAAATATTTTAGTTAGTATACACAAGATAAATCAATACGATTAAATAAAGTCAACTGTATATAAAGACAAAACTGTCGATGGATCTTGGTTTTGTTTTTAACGATAAAACAATTTCCAACTATTCCATTATTTGCTTAATAAGAAGGCATACGCTTTCAAGCCTATTTTGTAAAGGAACATTTTCAAATCCCTAATTGTAATGAAGCATTGCTTCCGATTTATAATCCCTTTATTCACATATAGTTTTAAATAACCAAAATGTTGCATGTGTTTAGAGAAAATGCAGCTGTGATTCATTTAGACCAGTTCCTCGATTAGTTTCTTAACCTCATCCTCACCCAGCATGGTGAACTCTTTCTTTGACGTTGTCATGGTCATCAGTTCGACATTGGTCTCGTTTAGCTTCTCCTCCATGACATGTTTGAGCGTGTTCAAGCATAAATCGATGGCATCTTTGAGGGACATCTCTGGCGTGTATTTTTCCTGCAGGTTCTGTTGTGCGCCCTCGCTGCCAGAGCCGATCGCCTTGGCGCAGTGTTTTATGTAAGTGCCGGAGGGATCCATGTGCCAGAGCTGAGGCTTGCCATTCTCGATGCCGGCAAAGAGTATGGCCACACCGAAGGGACGACTCATGGCGGAGGCGCCATCACTGTCGCCGCTATCGCCGAACTGTATGGCCAGCGTGGCGACAGCCTGGGCGCACGACTCGACGGTCATGGCCTCGTTGTAGACGAACCAATGGTTCTGGCACTCGACACGTGCACGCTCTATCAATGTGCGTGCATCGGCCATCAGGCCAGAGGTGGCGCAGCCAATGTGCTCGTCCACTTTAACAATCTTTTCCACTGTCTTCGGCACCATCATCGGCGAGGTGATGCGCTTTTCCACGGCCAAAACAACGCCTGCGAAATGATCATCACTAGTATATTAAATTCAATTGTGGGTACTTTACTGTCCAATGCTTACTGTCGTTTGTGCAAATGCCGATGGCAGTGGAGCCCAATTTGATGGCCTCAATGGCATACTCCACCTGGAAGAGGCGGCCCTCGGGAGAGAAGGTGTTTACACCACGATCGTACTCAGAACGTGTTAGGAACATAACTGTATATAACTGAAATTAATAGAATATTATTTAACTGTTTAATTTACTATTGAATTGCAAATTACGGCTCACTGTTCTTCAAAATTGTCTATGAAGCGACAAACAATCCAATTTCCAAATGCCGGAATGACTTTGATGCCAAAATGACTTGCGTATAAAATGACAGCAGCAGTGCTGTACAATCCCAGTACAAACAGTGCTGCACAAGGCAAGCAAATCAATATTTAAAGGCGGTCACACTTGGCATCTGCTTCGTAGCGCGGTTATTTCAAATGCTTTCATCATGCAAACAAAGCTAGCATATTAAGCATAAATAAACTAATTTTAATTTAAATTATATATAATTATACAATAATATTAATGGACTACTTCTAGATTTTTGGTTTTTAAACTTGTGAAAATCCGTTCAATTGCAAAAACTGACTTCCCTTTTATGCAGCCAATCATGCGAGCATTCAATTTAAATGAAATCAAGAAATTAACTGGAATATTCACGTTTTAGTGTGACGAATTTCGATTGTAAATTTGAACAAATGTTCAACATAATTTAAAAAGACGTACATATGTAAATTTTGACCAGTTTTGTGTATTAAAACACCGTTTCAAGGACTTGAAACGAAGAAGTTGAACAATCTCTTTAAACGCAGCTTACTGCTTATGTTGTTTATGACAGATTAACAGAGTGAATGAAAAGAAAAAAATGAAAATGAAGGGGAAAAACGAAGTTGAAAAAATCAAAGGGCCGAGCAATCTCTTTGCCCAGTCAACAAGCAGAAATGCCTGATTTGTTACTACAAATAGGAAAACTAATTACTGGGTCAAGGCACTTCTATAACAAAGATCAACTCCGAAAATAAAACAACAACAATAGCGACTTTTCCAAAGGGAGAGGCGTTCACATAGCCCACAAATCACACGAAGGTCATTGACCAAAGTGATTTTTTGCAGTATGTAAAAACTAAAATCAGCTTGCTAATTGCCTTTAACTAGTTAAAACTGTGAAATAATGACACCAAGAATTGCAGTTGTTGTATTATTGTAGCTCCAATTCATAATTATAAACGCAATAATGGGCAATTAGTGCGCGAAATATGGCGCTCGGCTCGATGACGAAATAGAATAAGCATGTAAATGCCTATGAAGCCGCTTCACTCCTCTCCCCCGGCACCGCCGCCATTCGGCGTCCTCGTTCAACATCTTTCCAAAGACGACTGTCTTCCGCGTCTGTGGCGGGTTTCGAAAAATTTGTACAGCTCGGTACAAAAATGTTTTATGTTTTATTGTTGTTTAATGCATTGCTAATGCCACATGCCAGCCAAAGTGTGTGTGCGTGTTTGTGTGTGTGTGCCGTGTGTATGTGTTTAATTTCGGCTTTGTTTTAGTTTTAAGCGCACACTAAGTAGCGGCAGCAACTGCATGTTGGTTTTTAAATAGCCAACAGTGGATACGTTTTCAATTTAATGACTCTTGTTGCACAAAAACAAAAAACAGTGCAGCCGCACAGACACATACACATACAACATAACAGATTTACATACATACTTACATACATATGCACAGTCACGCTGGCAGCTCCTACAGGCTGTAATCACGATCGTGCCACATCGAGCCAATTGGAAGTGTGACAGCCAAATGGTTAGCTCGAAAGCCCAGCTTTGGGCACACTCAAATAATTGGCTGCGAACCGAACCGAAAAACCGATTCTTAACATGAACGGAACCACATTGAACCAATTGCTTACTTGTCTAAGGAAGTACATATATTAAACGTTACGCTTCCGTTAGTTGCATATAGTTAGATACATATAATATAGTTTATAATAAATTTAATTGTTCTCTTGGAAAATATCACAATCATGTTTCGAGCTAAGAACTTAGATCTGGCAAATTGCGTTCACGAAAGGAACGATCAAGCCAGAACTGGTTCGAAAATGCAGTTCGAAAATAGTTGTTGCAGGTCTGGCCACTTTGTGAAGCCCCAGGCCAACGCAGTTTCTTTTAAGCATGTTTAAGCTCCAATAAACCAAACGCCCAAAACCGTGATACATTGTTATTGATTATAAAGACGCCGAACAAAATGGAATCATGCACAAATATGATACATGGGCGCAACGGCCTATCAAATGTCGAACGCATTGTGTTTAACCTTCTCATTGTTTTTGCCACTTACCACACATTTTGTTTACGACGTCGAGTCAATAGCACAAATGCAATCGCCGAAGATTTACATAATCCGCAGCAACATTGTTCGCTGTCGAGGTGTGCATATTGATATGTCCATGACTGTAGCAGATCTAAACGGGCTCAAAACGGAACCAAATCAGACGCGATGTCAATGTCTGGCTTTTTTGCATTATATAAAGCCGGTAATCGGAGATATATCTGTCTTGTTTACATGTTAAACAATCATCAAAACGCAAAATCACATAAAAACACACACCTATGCGTGCGTGTGTGTGTGTGTGTGTGTGTGTGTGTGCTTGTTTGTTTTTGGGTCTTTGTAACAATTTCCTAGCTATTGTTATAGGATAACGACCCGATTACCTGGTTGCAATACATCATGCATGGCTCCTGCAGTTGCCAACGGGATGCCTGCTCTAACGTCGTCGATATATGAGAAACGAGTTGTTCATATAACACCGAACACCGTTCCCCAACATTTCATTACTAAGCCAAATCCACAACAACAACAACAATAAAAACAACAACAACGCCGAGTTGCGAATGTGCGCGCAGTCGCAGCCGAAGTTGTTGCCGCAGTCGCAGCCCGGGGAGCTTGGGTAGACGCGCGGGGATTAGTGAATTGCGTTGCGATAGACCAATTTCTTGGTGTATATAAGCCGAGTGCAGCGAGTGAGGGAATCAGTACCAGCTTGGATCTCGTTATTGGTATAACACAGTTTATTGTGGAGTAATTGTTTTCCTCGTGAGACGTCAAAGCAACAGCTCAACAATGCGAATGGTAAAGATCGGATATGGTCCAGTGTGCGCGGATCTGGGCAAGGAATAGCTGCTAAGAACGTTGTCCTTTTACAGTTCGTACTTCCTTGTCTCGCCGTGTGCGTGGCAATGGCCCATTGTGCTGCCATCGATGAGAAGGCCGCCGCTGACGCTGCCCCAGCCGAGGATGGCAAGAATGTGGAGAAGCGTGGCCTCCATCTGGGCGACTATCATGGCCATCATCATCATCATGAGCACATCAAGACCGTGACCATTGAGAAGAAGGTACCGGTGCCCTACACAGTGACCAAACATGTTCCCTACACGGTTGAGAAGAAGGTAAGTGATTGGCCTTCGAGGCGCGTAGCAATTTCATTGATTTGCAACTGCCTGCCTGGCCCAGATCCCCTACGAGGTGAAAGTAGATGTGCCACAGCCATATTATGTCGAGAAGAAATATCCGGTGCATGTTAAGGAATACGTCAAGGTGCCGGTTCATGTGCCCAAGCCCTACATTGTGGAAAAGAAAGTCCCGTACGAGGTGAAAGTGCCCGTCGACAAGCCATACGAAGTGAAAGTCCATGTACCAGAGCCCTACGAAGTTATCAAGAAGATCCCATACGAGGTGAAGGTGCCGGTGCCACAGCCCTACGAAGTCATCAAGAAGGTGCCACATGAGGTGAAAGTGGAAGTGCCAGTGCCCAAGCCCTATGAAGTCATCAAGAAGGTGCCGTACGAGGTTAAAGTTGAGGTCGAGAAGCCTTATCCCGTCGAGGTTGAGAAACCCTACGACGTCGAGGTCGAGAAACCGTACACTGTTGTCGTCGAAAAGAAGGTGCCCTACGAAGTGAAAGTACCCGTTGACAAACCCTACAAGGTTGAGGTAAGAGAGTACCTAAACTCCTTATCGAGTTGGCAAATATAAACCCGTGGATTTTGTGTCTCTCGAACAGGTTGAGAAACCATATCCAGTGCATGTTAAGGTGCCAGTTCCACAGCCGTACACCGTCGAAAAGAAGGTACCGTACACCGTAGAGAAGCCCGTACCGTATGAGGTTAAGGTGCCAATTGAGAAGCCAATTCCCGTCTACACGGAGGTTAAGGTGCCCATTCACAAGGAAATTCCCGTACCAGAGAAATACCACGTCGAGGTGCCAATCTTCAAGCATCACGATCATCACCATGAGGAACACCACGACTACCATCAGAGCCACCACGGTCACTACTAAGGATTAGGAGGCGTCAGTGTGGCCCAGTTTGGCCAGCACAGAACGCGAGCACAAGGAGTATACGAACATCAAAAACGAACAACAACAACAACAACAACAACAACGAGAAGAAGGATATATGTGAGAGAGCACAAGGACATGGGCAGAGAGTCTTTGTCGCAACCACGCAGCAACGTTGAGCTGGACGTTGAACGGGTGATAAACACAAGGAGGAGAGGAGTCAGAGCAGAAGGAGGAGAAGTTCGAGAAGACCAACAAGCAGCAGTGAGAGGACAAACTAACTGGCTGCTTGGCAATGAGATCTGGCGAATTCCGCAAACAAAAACAAAAAAAAAACAAAAAAGACTCCACTTTGCGGAACTCGCATAAGTTTTAAGCCAAATGTGTTATACTTTTACTTGTATCATTGTGTTAACCGTACGAGTATGAGTTTTTTTATTTAAATTATAAGCTAAAGAAACACTGAAAACAACAAGCGAAAAGCATTAATTGAGCGGAACGGAACGGAGCGCTGGGCGGAACGGGGGGATTGCCATTTCAGTGAAAGTGAAAAGCAGCCCACAGATCGTGCAGTCGACCAAATTGAAATGAAAACTTAAGAAAACCAGTTAAGCGTTGTTGTTGTTGTTGTCGCTGTATCTGCAATTTCGCTCTGTGTATTCTTGGCCAGTTGCTTATGCAAGCGAGTCGGACGGAGGCGCGATTTGCGATTGCATCACAAAACTAATTGCAGGAAGCGGCCAACACTCGCTAACGTTCAAATTTACCAAACGAGCAATCGCCGCTTGGCAATCGCAAATTTTCGCAATTTTTTTTTTTTCTTTAACTGCCGCGTCATAAAGTGTTTCAAAAATTTCCGTACCGACCAGTCTGTACGCTTGTTTATTTTGAGTTGCAAGTGTTGGCAACAGTTTGACGTGTTGCTGCTTCATTTTTATTATTGGCAATCGAAGCGCAACCAACTGGAGACGAGGCAGCGTGGCACCTGCCGAAACCCACACACACACAAGCCGCAGCAAGCTCAAGAGACGCGAGACGCGGCCTCGTTTTGGCCAAGTGGTAACTTGTAAAGATATTGTGATTATTATTGTATTTCGAAAGGCTGCGCCGTGAGTGCGAGCCATCGAAATTGCAATTAAAATACATTTGTAATGTGTTGTTGTCTGGTTGAAACTAAAACGAACAGCAACAATTTGAAGTGCGCGCCCAGTAGATAAACACCCTGTGGCAAACAGTTGGGTTCCACATAGCACAGGGTGTGCTGCCCTGTGGATGGTGTGGAACTTGCGGTCGCTTGGCCAGTCACCAGTCAGCTGTTGCTTGCAGAGGCAGAAGAAGCAGATCGGCATTCACATTTCTCACTTAAAACAACTTAAACAATATTTAATTAAAATTGTGCACAAAACATGGCCGATGATGCCGAAAACTCCGTGGACAACAGGCCAACGGACGACAACAAGCCGGAGAAAATGTTCACGCTGAAAAAATGGAACGCCGTTGCCATGTGGAGCTGGGACGTCGAGTGCGACATCTGCGCCATTTGCCGCGTCCAAGTCATGGGTGAGTTGCTGCACAAGATCATTCATGTAATATTTATAAATATCTGCTGCATTTGTACGACAAACAACAACAACTTCACGACAGCCAAAAAACAATGCAACCGCATTTGGTTCCCTGCAATTTGCATTGACAATCAAATCTAACGGGGCTTCTAACAACAAATGCATAATACACAGATTCAAGATTGATCAGCAGCTTATATTCCCACCCGCATCTGGCTTGCAGCTTTGTGCTCTAGACGCAAACGTTAGCCAACTCGACAATATTGAGATATCCATCCTCTACAAAAGAAACCCAACAACAGCTTGATATCTGCATATCCAGTTATGTTTGTTATATATAAAAAATAATATTCTGCTGGGTAAACGAACTCGTCAGAGGAACAAGCATATCCCTGACTTTTCTATGGATATTGTATTGCCTTGGGCGAAAATCATAATATCACGTCCCTAACTTGGAATCGACCTAATCAAGTTTTCAACTAGATCCATGTTAATCACTTTCCAAGCCAATTCCAATTGTTCGTCTGCGGTTTTTCGTTTCTTGAAATTCTTAAGCTAAAATGGATTAGGCATGGAAAGGTATAGAAGATTTAATATCCTTACAGACATCCATTAGATTAGTTTTCTAGCTTCTATATAAACTGGATGTCATTATAGTCGCATGACGATTTTGAGTCCCTAATAACTGAGTTTTCTTGGAAAATGACAAACTGATTTACAGTTTCTGATATTTGCCAATTTCATTTGATGTTTATCTAAAGAAAATCGTATTTTCTTATTGAAAATTTGCTATTATTATATTATACACTTTCAACATTGAGAAAACATTAGAAAAAGGCAACGGCGCATAAACAATATTAGAACTTAGTTGGAACGGCTGTTGATATATTATTCTATTAGTAGGGATATATTTTTATAGATGCTTTAATGTATTTTACAAGACCAGCATTTGAACATCTTATTTCTATAGCCTCCTCCGACCCCAAACAAAAATTACCTATATCATAAGTTCATCTGTTTTTTTCTATACAAATTCATTTCCATTTAATTGTAAAATATCTAAGCCTTGGTATTTACCAAGTTAACCAGGCTCTTAATACATTACCATAATCTAATCAACATCAAAATCGAAAGCTACTAAATCGTATTATTTTAGCTCGTAAATTTATCTTATGTCTGGGTTACTTTTGTTTTATTTCTTCTTTCGAGATATCTTTATCAAAATTCGCAATTAATGTGCTTCACTTTTCTACTTATCTGTGTAAATGAGGGTATTTAAGTTTCGGCGTGGCTGTTTAACTGAGTTTCAGGAGAAAGATTTCTTGAGAAAGATTTTCGATCCGCTTGAGTTTGACATACTTTTCTATATAGATTGTCTTCAGTCAAATGTTTGTAAAGATTGCTTTTGGCTTGCATTTATTAAAACAAAATAAGAAAACACATTTTGTGAAACAGAGTCGAATCTTTAATTTATTATTGCTTATAATATGCCTCTGGGCAGGGAATGCCTCCCGCAGGGTTTTTTTTTTTTTTGTTTTAAAACATTCGCTTATACAATTTATTTTCGATTAGAAGCGAAATAAATTGACTTTTTCACTGCGATTATTTAAATATTTTCCGAGCACATTATTATCAGGTGCATTCATCCAATAAATGCAACGCCATTTTCAGATTTCGTGGCTTTGCCCGCCAGATCCGAACTGTGCACGACTATCTCTGACTTTGTATACGTCGAATATTCTATAAATATGGAAAATAATCAATTGTAATCGTGGCTGATATTTTCGCATGCACCGCATGTGCAGCTGCCATGTGTGCCATATGTGCTCGCATGTGTGTAGGTGCATATTTGGTGCACTCTAGAATGGGCTGGGCTGCGATATATATGTCTCTCTCTATATATATAAAATAAAATATAATGCTCACGTATTTGCAACGACATTGTGCAACTGTAAATTGCATTTCGAAGGTCGCATGCAAATATGTGTGTTTCATATTGCATTCAAAATTGTTGTTAAATTATTTGTTGAGGGTCCGCTCCGATCTAATTGAAAGAACGTGTATTTCATTTTTTGTATATATATATTTGTATATATATATATATATATTCATAAAGTTATTTTACATACATAATAATTTACATAGACGCAGTTGCTGCGAGAGTTATTTATACTACTAAAAAAAGATTCATATATTCTTTTTACAAGCTTTCTATATTCGAATAGCCAATTGGATTGAACTCCTTTGAGGTGGGGGAGCGGGATAGTTCTGGATAGTTTTGCATTTGGCACTTGCATTCTTAACTAAATAGTTATGTCATTTTTCTACAGAGATTACTTCATGATGATGATGATAATAATGCTGATCATCATCATCTAGGCAACAAAATTAGTGCTAAACTCATAATTTACACGAATCATAAAACTACGCGACTTAGCAATATAAATAATAATAATAATCATAATAATAACAATAATTGTGTAGAAATAAAGGAAAATCTTTTGCTAAAAAAAAAAGGCACGCTCTCTCATAACACATGTGATACAGTGATAGCTACAATAATCGTTATCGATACGGTTTATCGATATCGATATCGATATTGACATCGATTTCTTCATAGTTGTACAACTTAAGCACTAAGGCACTAGACTAATATTTGGTTTGATCGCTTCAAGATCCATTTGTATGCGTGCTCGTGTGTGTGTGTGTGTGTGTGTGTGTGTGTGTGTTTTGGCCAACATTCACAGAATTACATGTTGAAGGATAAGGGCTTAATGTTCGCCACGGAGGACATGCGGCGAACGCGTCCCATCATCTTTCGCTCGATGTCCTCCAGCGTCTTGCCCTGCGTCTCGGGCACATAGAATATCACAAAGAACAGGCCGATAAAGCAAATGGCGCCGAACATCCAAAAGGCACCATGCGCGCCCATGAAATCTGAATACGAGAACATATATCGAGGGATTAGGCATGTGTCTGTTGGAAAATATGCAAACATGTATGTGACTCACCTATCATGTCCTGGAACGACTTGGTCACCACAAACGTGCAGGACCAGTTGAAGGCGGTGGCCACGGAGGCGGCAGAGCCGCGTATCTTGGCGGGCAGAATCTCGCCCATCATCAGCCAGGGAATGGGCCCGAAGCCCAGCGAGAAGCCCAGAATGTAGATGACAAAGCAACTCAGCGGCAACCAGCCCACATTGGAGGTGTCCATGCCACTGGACTTGCAATAGAAGAAACCGCCCAGCACGAACAGCGTCAAGACCATCATCACGTTGGACACATAGAGCAGAACCTAGACGATACGGATGGCATAATCTATTGTAGAGCCGGTAAATGAAAAAGACTGCATTCGGGAAGCTTACCTTGCGTCCAGCGCGATCGATGAGGATCGTGGCGATGAATGTGGCCGCAAAATTGACAACGCCCACAATGATCGTGCAGACATTGCCGTCAATGGTGGAGCCGGCGTCCTGGAAGATTTGCACCGTGTAGAAAATGACCGCGTTGATGCCGCTCAACTGTTGGAAGAACATCAGACCCAGAGAAATGGACAGCGGCTTCAGATTGCTGCGCTTCAGCAGCTCCAGCATTTTGTTTTGAGTCGCCTGTCGGTCGGCATCCGCCTGCGAGCGCATCAGACCCTTCAGCTCCGGCTCGACATCGGCCTCCTTGCCACGCAGCCAGACGAGGGCCTTGCGTGCGCGCTCCTCGCGTCCACGGCTGACATACCAGCGCGGCGTCTCCGGTATGAGGAACATCAGGATGAGGAACGGCACGGGCAGCGACGCACCCAGAAAGGCCAGCATCGACCAGTCCATATACGTGCCGGCCACAAAGCACAACAATATGCCAATGTTACCAAATGCCGTCGGCAGCAGGCCCAGCGTGCCGCGCACCTCCGGCTGCACCGTCTCGCCCAGGTAAACGGGCAGCGACAGCGACGCGATGCCCACACAAAAGCCGGCCAAGAAACGGCCGCACAGCACCATGATCACGTTTACGGCGCAGGCAATCAATAGCCAGGAGACAATAAATGGCACAGCCGTCGCCAGGATCGTGTTGCGCCTGCCCAGATACTCGATGAACGGACCGCCGGCTATGCCGCCAGCCAGACCAGCCAGTGGCATGATGCCACCTACCCAGGATGCCTGCAAAATGGAAGAGAAATTCAAATTTTAGAATTTATTTGAATTGCAAGATAACTAAAGGATTCTAGAGTCTAGCGAGAATTGAGTTGAATTCGATTTGTGAAAGGAATGCGAACTCCTTGGATTCGCATTTGCAAAAGGAATTGCAATTCCTTGGACTACGACTAGAAAAATATTGAAATTGCCTTGTAATAGGAATTTCAAGGAATGTACGGAATGTATTCTATCCGGAAATACGTGTGTTTAGTAGTTAGGAATCTTTTCCAACTAGACACTGCTGCAAGTCAATTAGGAGCTGGCTAAGACTCTGATTGTCTTGTCGTGCTCTGTTCTCATTGATCTTAGCTTAAATGGGGTTTGACTTACCGCTTGGGGCGTGACCACAAAGGACGTCAGATTCGTGTTGGTCATGGAGACCAGGGCGGGCGAGGTGTAGGCGCTGGCGAAGCCCACGACCAGGGAGCCCAGTGAGACGCTGAGCGCAGCGAGCACCTGCAATTGAATGGAAACGTATAGATGATGCATTAGCAAACTGCTTGATTTGGATTGGATGGAGCTGGTTCGTGACGGGTTCTGGATCTACCTGAGAGTAGGTGCACTTTGCCTTGGGCTCGTCAATCGGCACCGAGAAGGACACATGGGTGTCCGCGCGCATAAGGATCTTCATAATGGGATTGGATTAAGCTATGCAGCTACAATCAAACTGTTGTGCGTTTTGTTAGACTCGTGTCTGGGGCTGTGGGGCAACCTTGCCTCGTGCTGCCGCCTTTCACTTTGAGTTGAAGCCTTGCGTTCTGGACTTGGACTTGGACTTAGCTAGTAACGCATTTGTTGCGCTTTGCCGGACGAAACTAAACTGAAACTGAAACCTGTCATTTGGCGACTCGAATGCGGCTAGGCCGTTAGATTTTGAGTACGATTTGCGCGGTCACGTACGTACATCAGTTTGCACGGAATTATAACGCATGTCGATAGACTATGTATTGATATATATATACGTATTTATATTAGCTGATGGATCGCTTATCAATAGCCATTTAATCAGGGCCTTCCCGCCCAACAGGCCCACACTTTTGATCAGCTCAGTTCAGCTCAGCTCAGCTCAGCTTGGCACAGCTGTTGACATAAGCTTATCACGCTGTTTACGTGTGCCGCCCGATTACAGCTTCCAAGATTAGGTTCAAGACGCAGCCGACAATCGACAACCGATAGCCGAAAGGCGGTTTAAGGCGGTTCCTTGGCACCGAACAACGAGCCGCTGCTGCTAATATGCAAAGTGCAACTAAGCTGTACTCACATTTGGCCATCAGCAGCAGCAGCAGCAGCAGCTGCAGCCAGTCGGGTTAGGTCAATCAGGGGGCAGCTGACGGGTCGATCCATCGTGTGTGCTTGTATTTTTAGTCTCGCATAACTTAACTAACTGCGTTATTTCAGTTTCAATTTCAATTAAAGACAGCCGCAAAACGGGACGGGGGGGGGGGGGGGGGGGGGGAGAGGGGGCAGGCCAATCTGGGCGTGCGAAAATAGCCCGCCACGCGCTTTCCAATGGCGACCCACAAACTACGCTCTAAATTGCGCAAAGAATGAATGCGAGCCTGACTGCTTTATGGCAATATTAATGCCATTCATAAGGCCATTCCCCACACTCACATTCGTTCGTCTACTCGAGTACTCACACACTCGAGTACTCATTTATAGGCGCCAGTTTAGCAGTCTCAGCGCTTAACGAGCCAACAATGGTCCGGTCCGGCTAAGCATCAGCTACAGCGTCTACGACAATGTTTATGCCTTGTTGTTAATCGCAGCTAATCATAATATTTTCATATTTTTATTGTCCATACGGGACAAGGTATCACGAATTCGAGCATCAATTTCTGCTTCCAATCGAATATTATATTTCCCCCATGGACTTTTTGGTCTATCTTCTCTATCGAAAGTCTGAGAGAAGTTTAGAGTCTATCGAAAATTTGAGACAAGTTAAAAGAGTTCTCTATTGAAACTCTGAAAGAAGTTTAAAGTGTTCTCTATTGAAACTCTGAGAGAAGATTAAAGTGTTTTCTATTGAAAATTTGAGAGAAGTTGAAAGAGTTCTCTATTGAAAATTTGAGAGAAGTTGAAAGAGTTCTCTATTGAAAATTTGAGCGAAGTTTAAAGTGTTCTCTATTGAAAATTTGAGAGAAGTTTAAAGTGTTCTCTATAGAAACTCTGAGAGAAGTTAAAAGAGTTCTCTATAGAAACTCTGAGAGAAGTTGAAAGTCTTCTTCGAGTCGCGATTCTACAACTTTATCATACTCTCTTCGCGGAGCTCGGACTCTTCAGAAAGACCTATATCAGAGTCTGGGGCGAAATTATGTTCTATGACAAACCACTTTTGTCCTTTTTTGATTAGGATCTTCTTCTGCGCTTGGTTTATTACGAATTGCCCTAGCCGGGCAAATGCATATTGCGATTGTCCTCGTGTAAACGTCGTAATTAAGAGACTGTCGCCGCAAACCCATTATAAATCTCAATAAGCAATCGCGATCACATGAGTGGGCTGTCGTCATTCGTTTGACCTACCTGTGTCCATATATAGATGGGATTCGTTGTGGGCCTGTAGACCTCCAGCTTGGGCTTGCCATCCTCGGTTATCTGGCGCACAAAGGGCACCGCATGCCGGATGTTGTCGCCCCGCTTGTTGCCCATCTCGTCCATTTCGTACAGTCGACGGCTGCAAATAAAAATAGAAACTGCGTATCAGAGCTGAATCAATTGGAATTGTTGCGTCATCAACTAGATCGAGGCTTGGTGGAATGTGGCAACGGGAATGGTGAAAGGGGGAATTGGGAATCACTCACCTCTTGCGTGAATCTGTG